TCTTTTTGTAATTCAAGAAGTAATTGAAGTTTTGAATCGTTGGATCGTTGAGCCTCTTGCATACTTGTTTGGGTTTCTTGCAGTTGAAGCCCATGACAATTATATTCTCCTGGTGCTGCCACTTGCATTGCATTGTCCTCTCATCTTTGGTCTAAGGGTGAGCACAGCATTTTCGAGCCCCTCAGGAAGCAGTGATGCCCAGAGTCATTTGCAGGTAGGGTCAGAAAGCTGTGGTGAGAATGCAGGTAAATGGTTTCTGTCGAAACAGGCAGAAAATAATACTGTGAGTGACCCTACTGAGAAAAATATAGCTGAAAGTCAACATTACATTTTCTATTCTGAGACTTTTTTGCACATTTTTGCTTTTCCTTATTCCCTTGTATTCCTGCTTGTAATTGTAAGCCATTAGAAATAATTTTAAAGGCCTGAGTACAAGTTCTCTCTAAATATGTACTACTCTGCTGTGCATAGTGACATATTTTAAACAAAAGAAGTGCAACGAGACAACCTGATAGCAGTCTGAGTTGTCAGAGGAGCACGAATAAGTCAATTTTTGTCCTAAATATGGAGAAAGCAATGGAGTTACCAGCAGAACATAGGCAATGTTTTGTTAGGAAAAGGTGTTGTATTTAGACATAAATAGGGTTTAACACATTTCAACATGTTAATTGAATACATCCAGAGTTAACAAGATAACATTTTTCTAAAGTGTTCCTAAAGCAGTTTTTCAAAATATATTTCACTTTCCTAAAACATGTTAATTGAATACATCCAGAGTTAACAAGATAACATTTTTCTAAAGTGTTTCTAAAGCAGTTTTTCAAAATATATTTCAATTTCCTAAGTGGGGAAAAAGGGAAAAAAAAAAAAAAAAAGAATTCAAGGAAGTATGAAACTCCTTTGGTGTAAACCTTTGTAGTGTTGGTTATAGTGAAAAACCCTAAAAAACATTCTTGTGCAGATCCGTATATGCCTTCCATTAAAAAAAAAAATCAGATTTAAAATAGAATATATTTTTTTCTCATGTGGACAAACAAATCATGTTCATCTTGTTCTTTTAAAAGAGCATTATCTGTGGTAATTAAAGCCACAGACAGGAGAGAGACGTTCTGATTGAGCTGTACTGCAAGGCTACCAGAGACAAGTGTGCATTTGAAGTACTTGTACAGAGTTTTTGTGGATGTAAACTAGGAAGTGGCCAGATTTGAATCTCAAAAATGCCCAAATGTCTGTAATTTTTAAAAAGCTCTCAACGCTGTTGAAAATCAGATCTCATTTTGGTGCTCAACCTCTTCAAGGTGTCTAAAGCTTTTCACGCCTAGAAGCTCAGAGCATCATGACTAGCAAGAGAGTTGTTACTTGAGTGAATATTTGACATATTCATACATATTTGACATATTTGAACATATTTGACTATTTTTGCCACGGTACACTTATAGGCAGCTTTGATAATTCCATCTTCCTTTGAAAAGCATTTTTTTAAAATTTTTTTTTTAAGAAGGACTGAACCATTCTTGTAGCACCAAGTGCAGCAAAACGAATGGGTGAGACAGGCTATAGATGCTTAGTGGAAGGAGAAGCAGCATTTTTCATACACTAGCTTGACCCACCAAATTTTGCTCCCTAAATTACTGGAATGACCTACATGCCATTCATATGCACAAGATCTACTGCTAATGAAACTCTTAAATAACTCAGTAAGTTCAAACATTTTTGTTTGTTTGTTTTTAAATTTCTAAACTTCATCCTGCTCAAAGCTATAAAAGATTCCTATGTGATCAAAGTATAGGTATTTTTTGGAGTGGAGTTGTGGATTTGCAAGTTAGACCACAGTGGACCTACAGCATTGAAAATCCCATGCAATTTATTCATTTCAGCTTTCCCTTAATAACCTTTTGCAAAGGTTATTAAGGGCAAAAAACTGTTATCATTAATTGGAGTATATACATCAATTTTAATTCTGTAGGAAATGAAGACTGTTTGTTTTAGCATCTGTTTGAACCTTGGGAGGTGCTTCTTTGACTTTATTATGATAAAGGCCTAGGAAAATAACCATTAGATTGTACTTCTAGGAAAACAGAAGATTTCCATGAGCTTGGTTTTAAAAGTACTTCCCTCACTTTGTATGGGTATTTGGGATTAGTAAGTTCTAGAAGAGCTCTATTCCTCAGTGAATACACTTTTTGAATATTTTTTTTCTAGAATAGGCCAAGAGGAAATGGGCACAAACTTGACTAGAAGAAGTTCCACTTCAACATGAGGAGGAACTTCTTTGCTGTGAGGGTGGCAGAGCCCTGGGTGGTGGTGGAGTCTCCTTCTCTGGAGACATTCCAAACCCACCTGGACACGTTCCTGTGCAACCTGCTCTGGGTGGCCCTGCTTTGGCAGGGGGTTGGACTGGATGATCTCCAGAGGTCCCTTCCGACCCTGTGTGATTCTGTGATTCTATGTGTAGCCAGTCAGGACTATTTGTAGGGAGGAGGAGGGCTTCCAGTATTCCCTGTGGAAATATAGCAAGCATCTATGTAAATCTTTCTCATATTTGCATTTTCTGCCTTCCAGTTATAAGTGTGGTTTAATATCTTTTACAGTAAGCTGAAATCCCCCTTGGTCTGTGACTGGCAGGTGGAAGTCACACAGGTCAGGTACACGGTGTGTGAGCAGATGGAGGTGCCTTTGCTCCATCTCCAGCAGTTGATCTGATAGCATTCGTGATTATTGCTGTGTGTTCTTGCCTGGGGAAACTGTATATACATGAATATGTGGGAAAGCACATTAATACCTTTCTTAAAGTTTTCCGTCCCCTTCACAGAAGGTGAACCCCAGGATGCCATGTGGCCACAAGGGCACATTGTTGGCTCATGGGCATCCTATTGTCCACCAGGACTCCCAGGTCTTTCTCCTCAGAGCTGCTCTCCAGCAGGTCACCCCCAACCTGTCCTGGTGCAGGGGGTTATTCCTCCCCAGGTGCAGCACCCTACACTTGCCCTTTTTGAATTTCATCAGGTTCCTCTCTGCCCAGCTCTCCAGCCTGTCCAGGTCTTGCTGTGTGGCATCCCTTCCCTACAGCATGTCAACCACCCCTCCCAGTTTCGTATCATCAGCAAACTTGCTGAGGGGACATTCCATCCCCTCATCCAGGTCATTGATGAATATATTGACGAGGACTGGACCCGGTACTGACCCCTGGGGGACTCCACTTGTTATGGACCTCCAACTAGATTCTGTGGCCCTAATCACAACCCTCTGAGCTCTGTCTTTCAGACGGTTTTCAATCGGCAACAAAGATGATGGAGAGATTGGAGCATCTCTCTGATGAGGAAAGGCTGAGAGAGCTGGACTCTTTAGCCTGAAGAAAAGGCTGAGGGGGGACCTTATTCATGCTTCTAAGTATCTAAAGGGTGGATTGAGGGAGGATGGAGCCGGACTCTTTTCAGTGGTTCCCAGGGACAGGACGAGGGGCAACGGGCACAAGCTGGACCATGGGAAGTTCCACTCCAATCTGAGGAAGAACTTCTTTGGGGTGAGGGTGGCAGAGCCCTGGCAGAGGCTGCCCAGGGAGGGTGTGGAGTCCCCTTCTCTGGAGATCTTCAAGCCCCACCTGGATGCTCCTGAGTGATGTGCTCTGGGCAACCCTGCTTTGGCAGGGGAGTTGGACCAGATGATCTCTAGAAGGTCCCTTCCAACTCCGACAGTGCCATGATTCTGTGCAAGGGCACTGGGGGCATGAGGAGAGCGGTGATGGGCAGGCAGAGCTTGTGGAAATGGCACCTGGGTTTTGGGGGGCTTTTGGTGTGAACTTGTGCCCTTCAGAACATCTCTGCCCATATCCAGCAGTGCGGCTGGGATAGCTGTTTGGAAAGCTTTCTCATCACTTCTCCTGTAGCAGTGGGTTTCGGTTGGTTGTTGGATTCCTGAAATCTGTGGAAATGATAATGAGTCCTGTTAGTAGAGACGATTATTAAGTAAAGAGGAATAAATCCCATGCTAGTAAAATTTTGGTAAAATTTTACCAAGTGGTTCTAACTTCCTTAGCTTCAACGTAGCTTTTATTCCCAGATCTCATTTGGGTGTGCAATGTTAAAAGAATAGAGAAACAATTATATAGTAACAATAAGTTTCCTTTTAAAAAAATAGCTTGCTACCTGCAAACTTGGTTTCCTTTCAAGGGAGTTAGAATGAGTTCAGTGGGATTTCTTGCCCTGGCGTTGTTGGTTTTAATTGTTTTTAAAGCAGAAACTTGCTTCCTCACAAGCTGACTTTCATTGACTTTCAAGGAGTGAGGTTTTTTCAAGGTCTTTGGTTTTGTGTTTTTAAAGGATGTGTAAAACATTTTTCTTTCTGATATCCCTATCCTTCTTGAAAGGCATTGTAACATGATTACTGAGACAATTAAGAACAGAGCTGGAAAAGGTTTGGAAGGGACTCTATTTTTATTTTTTTTTCCAATAGGGAATTCCTTTTAATAAAAGAATTTTATTTTTTTTTAACAGGACATTGAAATATGGAAATCAAATGCCTCTGAGCTTAAAAAAATAAATTTGTAGATGCAAGGATTTTAACTTGACAGATCTTTCTCATAAACAATTAATGTAAGAGTATAGGAAGCTTTGATATTTGATAAGTGTTCACAGCTGATCTTGTCAAAGTCAACTTGACAGATCTTTCTCATAAACAATTAACGTAAGAGTACAGGAAGCTTTGATATTTGTCAAAGTTATCAGCATGCCTGTGTAGTTAGAGGCAAAAATACAGGTGTTAAATGTAAGAGAAGGTGTTTTTTGATGTGAAGGGCAGTCATTTTACATCCTTGGCCCTGAGGTTTCCTGCATTGCTGGGAGAGATGGAGGACTTGAGTGCTTCTGTCATTATAAAGGAACATTATGGCATCACTCTGAAAAGGAAAACACAAACTTACTGATTGTTGCTGACTAACTGAAAGATTTATTATTTGGAAGCACTGCATTTGTTTATTTTGCTTTGCATATTTTGCTGTCAAGGTGACGTGCCTGCAGGACTTCTTTGGAGATGATGACGTCTTCATTGCATGTGGGCCTGAGAAATACCGCTATGCTCAGGATGACTTCGTCTTGGATCACAGTGGTAAGACTGCACATCCTAAATTCACTGAAACAGTCAACTTCATTGAGAACTTCACTGTTCCATCTTCAAGAGTTGTGTGATTTTAGGATAATATACATGGGAATATATTTTCCTATGGATTAAAAAGCTTTTTCCAAATTATCATCTGGATTCTGTAAGTCTGTTAAAACGCACTAACAAACCTGATCTATTTTCTTGGAAAACAGTCCCTGTCCCTAAAGTTACATGGAAAACAGCACTGACTTTTGAAAGGTTCAGTTATGGATCTAATGGATCTAAAATTCAATGAAATTCAGTTAACATGCTCTAGCTCTAGGCAATCCTGCTTCAGCAGGGGAGTTGGACTAGATGATCTCTATGGTCCCTTCCAACTCTAAAAATTCAGGGAAATTCAGTGAAAATCCGTTAAAAATGTTCACTTTTGACATCTGTGACTATAAGATGATCTTCATATAGTTGTCTTCATGAGACTTTTGACAAATCACATATGTAACCATGCTCATTTCAGGCCGTGAATTGTCCTGCTAGACAATTCACACATTCCAGTCTATAGGCTAAGTCTTGAGCCTGTTTATATTTGGAGGTTGTAGGGTGTGTTGGGTGAGACAAGGAGGTGAGACAAACTGGGACTTTGTGCCCATGTTGTCCTCTATTGACAGATCATGATTTTAACTTGTTTACGGAAGTTGTTTTTCTGTAAAGAGAAAATTTATAATTTAAATTCAAGGAAAAAACTCTCTCCTCTGCCAGGAAGTTTTAGAATTGGCTTGGAATATCAAATCGTATACATCTTGGTTTTTTCCTGTGAGACAAGGAGGTGAGACAAACTGGGACTCTCTATTGAGAGATTATGAATTTAACTTGTTTATGGAAGTTGGTTTTTTGTAAAGAGAAAATTTATAATTTAAGTTCAACCTCAGCCAGGAAGTTTTAGAATTGGCTTGGAATATCAAATCGTATACATCTTGGTTTTTTCCTCCATTTTCATAGAATCACAGAATGGTTTGGGTTGGAAGGGACCACTAAAGGTCATCTAGTCCAACACTCCTGCAATGAGCAGGGACATTTTCAACTAGATCAGGTTGTTCAGAGCCCTGTCCAACCTGACCTGGAATGTTTCCTGGGATGGGGCATCTACAACATCTGTGGGCAACCTGGTCCAGTGTTTCACCACCTTCATCATAAAAAATTTCTTCCTTATACCTAGTCCAAATCTACACTTTTTTTAGTTTAAAACGATTATCCCTTGTCCTATTGCTAGAGGTCCACTAGACATGTTTTTTTTGTCTATATTGGTTTGGCTTTAGAATCACCTCGATTTTCTTTTACGACAAAATTAATCTGTGTTAAAGAAAGCTTGCCCTGGCAAGAATCATCATCTTTGAGGAGAGCTTCAGGTTGTGAATGAAGGGAGCAGGGGATGGATGGGATGTTTGCCTTGCTCTCAAGTAACTGAAAGCAAAAGCACCTGCTGTTTTTCTAATTTCTACAAATGCCATAATTCCATTACGAAATCTTCAGTGACATCAAGAAGTATAGGTCTATATCTAACCACTGGTCTGTACGTTTGGATGGATGGAGGATTCAGCTGGCTCCCATCCTGTTGTTATTGCTAGCATGCTGCTTTTCCAGAACTGCTTGATTATGTTGATTCAGCTAGTGTGGAGGTGGTTTTTTAACGTAGTTTTAGACTACCTAAGATAACGATTTTATTCTTACGGAGGAATGGAAGAGCATCATTGTGTTAACTCACACTGCAGATCCCAGTCTGGGCAAAATCATAATTTCCCATGGAGATTTAAGGCTGTAAATTTGATTTTCCCAGTACTCCATGCATAGACTAATTGGGCTCATTTCCTTTCTGAGAACACAGCTATGGAGGGCTTTTATCTCCCTTCGTCTCTTCAGGTCCTTGCTTCCTCTAATAACTCTGGAGGTCTTAATGGAGAAAAGCAGTTTAGTACAGAGGGGAACATGACTTGACAGTACATACTAGTTTTGGTGGTGTTGTGGCTTTGTAATGATGGCATTTGCATTGTAGTGATGAACAACAGGGACAAAATCAAGAAGGAAAATTATATGATTCCATTGGGAGGGATTTGCAGTGGATGCTAACTGTAGGAATTAAAATGTTTCAAAAATCTCAATGCATGTCTACCTATTGATTCCTTTCCCATTTAGATGGTCCTTTATTTAATGATATATAGCTGATGGTAAACGTCAGTAATCTATTGTCTCAGCCCTTTGGAGACAATAGACATTTTTCACTTCTTGAAAATTGGTCACAACATCAGGTTCTGGCAAAAGAAGGTAAAAGGGGCTTGCTGTGCAGTTGCCCTATACAAAGCTGCTGTTAGAGTGTGTGAAGGATTTACTGAATTATCAGAAGAACCTTGACTTCTTTACTCTTTCAGTTGTGCGTAGTTGAGTTATGGTAATAATTGAATACATGAAAAAATGTTACATGTAGAATGTTACGTACAGCATCCGAGTAGCTCAAATATATGTTTGTAGGCTAAAGTTCTGAGATGCTCTTATAAATTTGCTTCACTCAGTTGGGCAAGCAGGTTTAGGAAATACTGATTTTTGTTTTCTGGATGATAAACAGCAACAGTGGTGTTTGGAGGAAGCCTCTACGTTGAACTGTTGTCAAAACTCTTATCTGCTTGCTTTGTAGAATGCCGTGTTATGAAGTCCTCTTATTCCCGATCCTCTGGCATGAGGTACACTGCATCCAAAAGTCCAGGGCCTTCACGGCGAAGCAAATCACCTGCCTCAGGTACTACTTCTAGGGAAGAGCTGAACCCAAGAAATACCTGAAAGTTAGAGTTTGTTTAATGAGTAAAAAAAATTGTTGGCTCTGTCTGATATACAAGTGCCAGGCTTTGTTTCCTGAGGGAAAACGTGGTTTTTTCAGTTTGTCTCATGGATTTAATACTAATTAATAATAACATTTGCATTTATTTTTGAATCCTGAGAAGCGTGGGGTTTATTTTTTAATTAACAGGCCCAAAAAGTTTCAGTTTATGAACACTGGAATAATTTGTGGTAATTGTACACTTGGGATATGTTTTCAGCATGACATTTTATTTTCTTGAAGACTATTAACTACAGGATAGCTATGTGGTTAAAATCATGTTCGTTGAACTAGGGTATACCCTGAAGTGTTTATTTTCTTGAAGACTATTAACTACAGGATAGTTATGTGGTTAAATTCACATTCACTGAACTAGAGTATACCCTGAAGTGTTTGAATTTGAAAGGTATCTCTTATGTAAGACAAATGTCGTTGGTAATACTGTATTTTGCTGTTTCAAGTAATTTTAGGAGATGTTCTGGAATGTTATTGCCCATTAACAGAGAAATATTCTTTTTCTTCTTCTTGTGCTTCCTGTAATTTCAAAGAAAGGTTCACATTGTGTTTTTGCCAGTAGTTTGGCTGAACACCATATGTTCCAACCATTGAATCTTTTATGCAAATTAATAGAAGGGAGAAACTTGGGGTTTTTCCTTTTTTTTACCTCTGCGTTTAATTTCTAAATGCGGTAAAACTAGATTATTTTATTTCCCTCAGACCTAGAGAAGGAGCCAATGGTTTGAAATCAAACCATTGAATATCTAAATACATATGCTCTGTTTTGAATGTAACTAGACATGTAGGCTCCTGTGCTTGTATTCAAAATTGCAACATGTTCCATAATCTTATTTCTGTATCAATATTTGTTTTGCTTAATTGATGCTGGTTAAAGTAATTTTATGCCTTTGGGTCAGGATAAATAGGATCACCTATTTATAAAGGTTGAATATTTAACTGAAATGCTTCAAAGAATGATTGTGGTAACAACAAAGAAAAATGTAGCATGAAGGGCAAGTTTCACAACTGATCTACATTTCATGCAATCCTGTTATCTCCAGTGAGATAGCACGAGAAACCTATCAACAGTGAATTTTATGCAAAGTATTCAGAAATCAGTGCTGCCGTTACCTTACTTATTTCTAATTGGACACCCATTTGGTTAGGTTAGTTTACAAAATTTGTCCTACGTGTCTGGTATTTATCCTTCTATTTAATTGCCATTTTTTCTCATGTAGTCTTGACTTATCTTTACCCTTCTTCCTTTCATGCATGTTCAGAGCTGTTTAATAACTTCTTTCCTTACTGTCTTTTTCCTTTGTGTCAAATATATGAGTACAGTAAAGAGGGGTGGCCACTACTCCAGTGCTTATTCTTCAGCAAAATCCCCAGGTGAGCCATTATTATTATGGCTGTATATCCCTAGTGTGTCTCCTCCCTCTCCATTTACCTGTATTCTTTTTTGCTGTATTTGTGAATATTTTCAAGCTTGGTACAGACGTTTTGAGTTCAGTGAACCAGAGACGAAATGGATGTGCGTTTTTTGTTGAAGTAGATTGTTTGAGTGAAATAGCATAAATGCTGCTTTACAGTTGGACAACTGCTAATGGTGTCGAAGTGAAATTTGTCAAGGTATAATTTGACTGCAAGTAGAGAAGCATTCTGAGGAGCAGTACATTTGTATATGTATTCTAAAGCAGAACAGAAAATTTCAGCCAGTGTGAAAAGACAGGGATGACAATTGCTGAAAAAAGCGCTGCAAAAACATGTCGTTTTATTTGCAGTTACTACTTTTGTTTTCTTGTGTTATTTCAACCTATGTTCACTGAGAAACCTCTTTGAACCTTCAGTTTAAAGCAAAAGTATCTCTAAAACAAGTAATACGTATTTTGATTAGCAAGGAAGTTGAGACTTTTGACCACACTAGATTGTTAGAAGGTATTCATAGGTTTTTCAGTTTTCAGCATTCCAGTATGACAAAGAATTGGAGCCTAATACCTACTACTTAAAGAATGACAAAGAAGAATTTTTTTTTTCCTGTTTATTCATGTCTAAAGAAACCTCAAAAGAACTTTACACTCTAGAAAATAGATAAGAAATTTAAGTTTTGCATATACATGAATTAATCAGGAAATCATTGGCAGCGGACAAGTTCGTGCCAAAAATGAATACAGGATTGTGGTTTAACCCCAGTTGGGAACTAAGCACCACGCAGCCACTCACTCCTTGTGAATTTTTTACATCTACACAGGGCCCATTCCAGCTTTTAGTGTTGTTGCAGTTGTGTACCAGCTCACATGTAGTGGATCTCAGAAGATGTTGGCCAAGCTGTATCTACAGACAGCTCTTTTAAATAGGATCCTCAGCAGAACGTACCACATGTTGTAGACTCATAGAATGACAAAAATTGGAAAGGACTTCTGGATGTCATGTAGTCATACCCTTGGCTTAGAACATCACCCTTGTCCACCATCCTGATACCACCTAAGGTATCAGCAAAGAGCGAGGGTACTGTCAGTGTAGGCTCTGTGATGTTCTTCCTTAGTGAGGAGAGAGAAGAAGATTGTTAACCAGCCAATTTCACAGGTTACAGTTTAGTGGTTCTGTCCATGCTTAAAAGGATGGTAGTGACTTAGAGACAGATAAGGATGTCTCATAGTGTAGGCCTCAATGGTCATGTTCAGGAAATAGTGACCTTTTGTGAACTGTATAAAAGGAATATGTGAATAAACAAAATTTTTTCCTCCTGTAGTAATAGAAGGTCATTTGGAAGCAAATTCTTCTACTGGACTATCTCATTTTTGGTCATGAACTTTACAGCTCTGTATTTTTTTCTAATGGCTAGAGCAAATTGTGTATGCAAGAAGCAGAAAACAGTAATATAGCATTCACTAGCCCTTTTCATCCTCATACTTGTGAATTCTTTATAAAACAAGGATGCATCGACATGCCAAGTTTCAGTAAAGTTATCTAAAACAAAGTGATGAAAATAAGTCTGCAGGAGGGACATATATTCCTAAATAGTTTTAGCTTCTTAAAAAAACCACTGAAGTAATCTGTCCGTTGTTCTTACAGGCAACCCTTGTCAAAGTCAAGACAAAAATATCCTAAGCTTACTGAATACTTTTAATAGAAAAGACTAGCTCTTGGTCATGTAATAGAACTGGAAATGTAAATCCAAGTTATCAGGCTTCAAGGTAGACTTATTCTGTAGCTAAATGGTAATTAGTTATATCTTAACATCACACATCAGAGAAAGAGGTTTTTGTGAAAAACAGGGATTTGTGGAAGTTGCAGTGCAGTCAGCCTGGCCTGACTGGTAGGGGTTGTCTGGGTTGTGAAAATACCAGGGATTTGTGGAAGTTGCAGTGCAGTCAGGCCTTACCAGTAGGGGTTGTCTGGGTTGTGAAAATATTACTTGGAAGGCATCTTCTGCACTGAGAGAATGTTACATTACATTGTAAAATAAATCCAATAGCACTGGTTAAGAAGTGATGTGTAACCCGTGACAGACCTCTGAATGTGTAAAGGATATGTGTAGGTGCAACTGTTACTTGCTTTGACCTTAAGTTTGTATCTGCCAGGGTTGCTTTCTTCTTTCTGAAAAAAAAAAAAATAATTCTTCACCATGAATCAGCTACGAAATCTTTCTAGCTCTTAAATTTCTGCCTACTATTTTCTTCTCCCAGAAAAAATGAGGCTCAGCTAGAGAGGAAATAATGTTCCATCGTATTTGTGTGTGACCAGCAGTGTGGTATTCTGCCTGCATAAGGAAATTCATCAGTTTGGGCTTTTTTTCAGAGAATTACAAGGGCTGACCTAAGTTACATTCAAGTCACCAAAGATGCAACAGATGTTGTACCACGCCTCTTTGGAAAACTGGACTTAGACTGAATGAATTCTTGCAGTCAAGAGGGAAGATATTGTATGTTTTCACAGACACTTGAACTTCTTGGAAGTTCGGGAGAAAAAAGTAGTAGCTTTTACCTTGTTGGGTTTTTTCTCCCCTGAATCAATATATTTCTTAATTATTAAGTTCTTTATCATCCAAACAGCTCATACTTCTTGCTTGTTTTTCTTGGAAAAAAAAAATCTAACAAAACAACTTGTGTTCTGGGAAGGAGTCTACTTAGAAAATAAGGCATTGATCCAAAAAGGAGAGGTGGAGGGTCAAGTGTATTTAGGAATGCTTTCTCTCTCCATAATTTATAACAATAAAGGATATAATTTAAAAAACCTGTAGCTATTATTTCCCCAAAGCTCTTGCCCTGGCAAAGGACAGAGTAGGCGTTTTTAATCTCTTGAATGAAAATGCAATATGTGTGTGTATTCTTGATCCTGTATCCAACCACATGAGTTTTGGGGGTGCAGTTGTGTGACATGGAAGCTTATAATTTTTTCCTAAATGCTGAGGAGTCTGTTTTGGTCTTTGTATGCAGATTTGAGTGATAACTTGTCAGAGATGTACGTTATGTTCAAAAATAAGTTTGAGTTTTTGACTTCTATTCACCTTTTCTTTCATTTGTTTGCTTTTATTGCTTTGGCCAGTTAATGGAACTCCAAGCAGTCAATTATCCACCCCAAAATCTACAAAGTCCTCCAGTTCTTCACCAACAAGCCCAGGCAGCTTTCGTGGACTCAAGGTAAGTGCAAGTACCGTCACAACCCATAAATTCCATTATTCAGTGAATGATGTATTACGCTGATGCTGAAGAAGAAAAAAAATCAAAGAGCTGTAATTCTATAGGGTAGCCTTGCTAGTATGATTTTCTGAGTTGAAGTGGGAAAGAGATCTGAAGTAAGATTTTTGTGTTTTGTCTTTGGTTGGCAGGATGGAACTCTCAGTCTAGGAAATGCAGAGGGTGATGGTGGCTTGAATATGCCAATTTGTCCTCCCAATTTTCCATTGTTTCATGGGCTGCAGAGAGCTCCCAAGTAGTTTATATTCCCTCAGTCTATATAAAAGTAGTATCCTCTTTTGGATACCTTATACTTTTATAGCAGAATTTTGTCTGAAGCACCTTTCTCCATCCATGGCACACAATTTATAGTATCCTCTTTTGGATACCTTATACTTTTGTAGCAGAATTTTGTCCCTTCTCCATCCATGGCACACAATTTCAGCACTTAATGCAGTCTTGTGCCTGGAAGTGTGTGAGAAGTTCCTTTGGGAGCAGCCTGATGTCTGGCAGATTTTTCCCTGTGTTGCATCCAGAGAATTCTCTTCCTCTCCCACTTAAAAATTGGTCACATTTACAGTTCTTAGAGGCTGCTCTGTACCTTTTACTCAGGAAAATAAAAGGAACAGGCTGGAGCACAGCTGAGCATCTCACTGCTGCGTTGGTGCAGCTGTCCTTTCAAGGAGAATTTTCTTATGAAATCATCAATTGCAGCCTTTCTGGGAAGCACACCGGATGGTTTGCGCTGATTATTCTGATCAAGTAATAGCTCCCATTGGTGAACACAACAGTTATGAAGAGGCTCCATAATTCTGTGGAAAAAGTGTTTTCTCAATTAAGAGACTGGCTGAAGGACGTGATCTGAATGGTGCTTAGATTTGGGTTTTGACATGCTAATTGTTACCAGGTCTTTGTGTTGCAAGGAGTAAAGCACTGGTTTCTGCCAGGCTTCCGTGATAATTCCGAGGAAAGGTTTTTATTTATTTCTTTAATTCTAATGTATTTTTAGTTGCTTGATTCATTGAAACAACTTAGTGTTGGTCTCTGCCTTTATGTTGCTGAGCTTCTCTTTGTCCAAAGCGACACAGATTGGCCTTTCTCCTGTAAAGCATTTTCAAGAGCAGCGATACTTCTGACATTGAAAATCAGGACTGTTTGTCTTAAAATCTATCTGGACGGCTCTGCTATAGATCTTACAGTAGAAGACACCAAAATCATTGGACTTGAGGCTCTCAGCTGGTCTGCACTACATTTAACAAATGCTCTTTTGTCTTTCTTTAATGAAATCACAAGTTTAGATGATTTGGTTGGGGGTTTTTCCCCACGCTGTCCTGTCTGCTTTTGGCCGATTAAAGCTCCATAAAGAGATAATTCTGATAGTAAGAAGTGATTTTCAGTGGAATGGACATGTCTTCTTTCTCCTTCACTGTCGATTTCCCTGCAGTAGGCTGTCGTACTTTTTCATTTTGGAATTTAATTGATGCTGGATACTAATGGGTTTTCATGTCACATACTTGATCCCTGTAAAGAAAACAGCAAAAACAACTGAATCATTTCAGACCTGACGTGTTACTGAAGTAGTGACTACCTCTTGTTGTATCCCATCAGGATGCATCTGTTCAGTAGGAGGATCCCAGCTGTGCTCCTGAGACTAAAGATAGGGAAAGTTATGTGGTGAATCTCAGGATAAATTCCAAAAGGATCAAGTGCACAGCGCAGGGATCCTTGTTTCTTGATTATCATCTAGAAGTAATGACTATTTTGGTAAAGTATCGACATAAAACCATGCCTGCCTGTTACTGGTTTTATGCAAACCCAGATGCTTTTAAGAAACCCATTATTATTTTTGTAGGGTTGATTTTGGCCAGTCAGGTGAGGAAAACAGAGGGAAAGGACCAATTTTATTATTTTGAGATTCCTGCTTTTCCCTCTAGTTAAATAATTCCTTGTTGCTAAGACTACATTGCTGAGCAGACAAGTAGTCTGCCTTCCTGCACATGTATAAAGAAGTGCCATCACTACAGCTGAATGAAAATATAGATATAAATACTGTGGCAGACAGTGAAAAAATAAAGTGTATTTCTGAGTTTTCTGGCTTTGGAAATGCAATATTTTGGCAGATTAGTTTTGTAGAAATCATATGTGTTTATTTTTGTAGAGCATGAAACAGCAACACTTAATAATGGTTTTATATGGGCTTGAGGCAGCAGGAAAAGAGAACAAATCAGGGTTGATGCTTCTATTTCCTGTAAAGAGCAGACAATTGAAGCAACTGCACATAAACTGTAGTTTAAAAATTGTGTTGTTTGCAAAACCAGAGCAAAATAAAATACGTGGCTATAGATGAGAACCTGGCCAAGCTTTTTGAAGTTTGATGATCAACGTAGAGCTTAAATGATAATGTTAATCATCAAGGCAGTAAACCTGCAAAAGATACTGATTGCAAGAGCAGGTTTTTTTCTCAGTCTCAGACACTGGGTCTTACATCACGTTCTCCAAATGCCACTTTTCCTTTAAAGTGAAGTCTTGTCAGTCCCCAAGGATTCCTGCCGCTTTGCGACGCTTTTTATAAGCAGATACAGTATGCTCAGGCACAAAAAACTCCTTGCAGGAAACCTTCCCTGTGAACAGCTTATCTTTAAAGAGAAGGGCTTTGCTTCTGTCCTTTTTAGTCTTCCAACCAGAGTGCCCTTGTGCTATTAATTGTTCGGTACATACAGTACATCAGTTTGCTGTCGAACATCCCAACCTTGCAGAAGTGTTCTTAAAAAATTACTGGAGTGTGAGATTATATTGAAATAAGGACATTATGGTGTGGTTTAAGAATAGTGAACACTACAGAATTTTCCTACAACCCAAATAAATGCCTTTATTCCAGTAAGTGACAAACATGGATACCATGCACCCAATTGTATGCTACTATATATTCTTATTAAAGTTGTTTATTTTTAGCATCACAATTTTAGGCTGTAACCTAGGCATTTCCCTTTGCAAAGGGTTTGTTTCAAGGCAAAGATTTAGATACAAAAGTTAACAAGTCCAGACATGAAGTCACTGCTCTGTACAATATTCTTTTTTGAGCAAATTTGCTGAGTTTCTTTTTCTATTAACGTTTCCATGGAGATTAAAACTAGTACATGGATTAAGAAATAATGGTAACAGTGCATTAAGTGGCACAGGAACAATTGACCAAGAGGAGTCCATTTGCTGTTCTGTGGGCAGGTGATAACCTAAAGGTTTAACCTTTCTCTTTGGTTCTCACTGTGTGTATTTATAGATCCCTAGCTATGCAATGCTGTTAGGGGTGCTCTAACTCTTAGCTCTTCTAGAACATCTGTTACTCTGCATGCTTTGTACCACAAAAACCCTCCAGAGACTAGATTAAGTATGAGATTTTTGGGAAGCGGTGTCCCCTTTTGAAATTGAGTACCACAAAGTCTTGTCATCTTTTTAAACAGAAAAAGATGTACAAAGGAAGAAAAACTGTACAAATAAAGAAGCTTTACAGTTGAGGTCTTTCTTAGAATCCCAATTATGCTAAATAGCATTGTGTTTGAATTTGTCTCTGTATTACTTTTTCGATTGATTGACCAAATGACCAAAGTGAAAGGGCATTAAAACCTGATCCAACAAATAACTTAAGTACTTGCTTAACTTTAAGCTATTGAGTAGTCCCTTTTACTTCAATGAGGATGTTAATGTACTTAAAGTTAAACATGTGCTTAAGTGATTTAAACGATTAGTGCCTATCTTCATCAAGATTTTAATCTCTTCAGTTTTGTACCCATGGGCTTCTGTGAGCAATTTCATGTTAAGAACATTTACGTGCAGTGATCCAACCTAGTGGCACGGGTGCAATAACCATTCTTAGAGGGATTCTTCAACTTGAATTTACAACCCAGCATCTTTCTTGCTCATACAGTGAATAAAAAAGTTGGCTAATTTGTGCTGGTGAGGAAACTGAGGTTTCATGGGGTGTCAAATCCATTCGCCATTGTCATCAGTTTGCTAAATGCTTTACGTAATGGGGTGCAACTCAAAATCTCTTTGGAAAAAGGGTTAAATCTTTATGTGGTTCTTCAGTGTTCCCAGAGCAGTGCAACCAAATGCAGGACATCATAGATATGTATATATTTCTACTATACTCTGGCACAGTATGGAAAGACCAGACTTGATCAGACCAAACTGAAACACAGACTTAAAGCATCCAAATTACAGTCAGTCTCTGTTGTGGAATGAGTTCAGCCTCATGTCTAGAGCCATAAGGGAAATTAGTGGCTCAGCTAAGGTTAAAGTTGCCATTTCAGGTTCTGATCTAGCTCCTCAGCCACAACAGCAGCATTAGGGTTTTGGTTTTTTCCTTTCTTGTATTCCTTTTATAGGTTCTGATCTAGCTCCTCAGCCACAACAGTAGCATTAGGGTTTTTTTTTTAGTTTTTGTATTCCTTTTAGCTTTTTTCCCTGTTACTATTTGCTTCCTTCTTGTAAATACAGTGGTAAGAAGGAACGTACCCAGTCATGCCCTGACCTTATTACAAGGATGAAGGAAGCTGGACATTACATTCCCATGTAAAGCTTTTTTCCCTGTTACTATTTGCTTCCTTCTTGTAAATACAGTGGTAAGAAGGAACGTACCCAGTCATGCCCTGACCTTATTACAAGGATGAAGGAAGCTGGGAATGTGGTCTAGATATTCCCATGTATTGTCCCTCGCTGAAAACCCAAAATAGATTACTAATATTTTTGACTGATGACTAATACTTTGCAGTGATCTTTCTGTTATCTCCGCTTCGTGCTTGAAGAAAATGTGACTGACTGGTTAAGAGACTGACTCATGATTTTGCACAAATGTCCTTGTTAAATCAATATATAACTCAGGAAGACAGCAGCATTAACATAGCCTGGTTGTAAGTTATTAGCAAGGAGCAGAGTAGTAACTGACTGCTTGCTGTTTGATACTACTTCTATGCCAAATTCTAGCAAACATCATTGTTTTAGGGGCTCTGCAAAATGAAGTTTTACAGCTTGGAGCCACCGTACCTTCAGCTGATTTGGCAGCTCAGCTGCCGCTAGAAACTTGAGGGCTCATTAGCATTTCATGAGCCTGTAGACAATATCCCTATCTGTCAGTTCGGTTCTTTCATTGACAATAGTGTTAATGATTTAAAATATTCAGCAGTGTAACTAGACAACGTCAGCTGAAATGGGAAATGCTGCATTTGCATTCCTGGTGTGATGCAAAGCCCTTTCAACAGACACCGAGCTTACGGTAGAGAAGGGTTTTAATCCTTTCTGTGGTGAGTGGGGAGAACTGCTGTAATACCCCATGAGGAAAACAAGATATGGAACTTCACAAAACAGCAGCAAATGTTACCTAGAGAAGGAGGAATGATCTAAAATTATGTTTAAATTCCATAGAGCATCCCTATACTTAACTGTACTGGGAGAGCTTATAAAACAGTGGTGCATAGAACACATCCAGTATGTTTTACTATTTATGGCATTCATTCCTATGTGCCCACTCCTTTTTAAAATAAAAATTGATTGTTGCGTATGTCCCTGGGCAGTATGACAGGATGACTTTGAGTAGAGTTGTCAAGATTCAGATCAAGAACCAATTAAATTGTTAGTGCAGCAAAAGTAGTTTTCTTCATCGTTCATCCTTCAAAGTCATTTAGATTTTTAGTTACTATGACACTGTGTAAAAAACCAAATACTGGATCTATGTCTGGTTGCCTATCAGACATCTAACTTGAAATGCTTGTAGATGTCATAAATCTTCACATTGATAATGACCTAAAATACAGACTGCTATCTTACCAACCAAATCTGAGTGTCGTAGATGAACCTGGCCACCTATGCCAAAATTCTCTTCTTGAAATAAAAACTACCAGGGCCATTCAAGCATTTCTACGTTACCTTCCTATATTCCTACATCTAAAGAGAGTGTATATTGATGGAGGTCAGTTAGGAAAACCTTAGTGCCAGCTACAAAGGGACAAGAGCATGTGCTGAATAGCTGTCTGGAGGTGGCTGGCTTACATGAAAATTTATGTAGAATGTATTGTAATGATCTCGTTGAGTAGAATGAGGAAGGAATGTTGTCTCACACACACGGGCTCTATAGTGTTTAGGTGGAACTTGGTGCAGCTGGAGGGAATTTTTCTTTGCTGAGAATGGAAATCTGGTCAACCACCTATTACATAGGAATAGCAGGGCTGAATCTTAAATTGACAACAAGTGACAATGATGTACTATAATGATGATGAACTGTGGCAAAGGAAGAATAAAAATAAGATGGGAGTAGAAAAGTAAACTGACTTTGTATAGGTGTTTTTAGGGTGGTTGGTTTTAACTTTGTTGTGGTTTTTATTTTTCATTTGTCTGGCTCCTTCTTGTGGTTACTTTACCATCAGAGATAATAAGTTCTTCTGTAATTCCATAGATTTCTCCACACGGTGGATCTTCTTCCAATGTCAACGGTGTACCTGAATCTCTCCATTGCCAGAGTCCTGAAGGTAGGACACCAATAATTGCTTACAATCCTTGCAAAAAATTTTGTTGTAGGTGACAGTTGGCTTAGCACTTTTAGATGGTTTCTGATGACTCCAAATCATTTTTTGTTCTGAGATATTTGATACCTTGTCAACAACCTTATCTTGGAAAAATTGTTACCACATTTTTTTTAAAGCTAGGAAATAAATTTTGTTCTATTTTTGTCAAGTGGTAGCACATTAGTGGACCCTGCTCTTCAGTGGTCACTGTCAGGAATTTGAGTGAATTTTGAACCTGACGGGCAGAGTATCATTAGAAATGGTATTTGTGGCTGGGTTGAAAGTGGAGCCTTCCTCAAAACAGCACATTCTGTTTCAGATAGAACCACTAGCCCGTCAATGGACCTTAGCTAAACTTGACCTTTCATTCCTTATCTCTTCAAAGCAATGTTGTTTTTTAAATTATTTTTAAATTTCATTTGCGAGTCTTTTTTTTTTTTTTTTAATGTAATATTGAAATAAGCCCCTGTCAAAATTATTTGCATTTTGGATGTTTCACCAGCAGCAAAGGGAACTTGAAGGAACTCAGCAGATAAAACTTGGTTCTTTTACATGCATTGGAGATGAATCTGATTTGAATCTCTGCTTTGAGCATGCGAAAAGGATACTTCAGAAATAGTATTTTGAGTTCAGAAAATATTTAGACTAAGGACTTCTAACTGCATTCATTACTTTTAAAATATGTCCACACAAAACCAGTAATATTTGATTTGTGTGTTAAAAGGTCCCAACCACTCGGGTTAGTCTTATCTTGTTCGTTTTTATGTTTGAGATAAAAAGGAGGGAATAAGCTGTGAAGAAAACAGCTTGCTTTTAAGTTTTGTTTGGCATTGGTGACTGTTGTGTATCTGTGGGACTCATTGGGTGTTGCATTACATCCTGCTGATCTCTTCAGCTTGTCTTATTGACCTTGCTCTTTTGCAGGTGTGAATGGAAACAAGTGCTCAGAGTCATCTGCCATTCTGGAGAAGTACAAAGTGGGGAAGGTGATCGGCGATGGCAATTTTGCTGTTGTAAAGGAGTGCGTGGAACGGTAAGCAAGGAAACTGTATTTTACTGGCTAAAGCCTTCTGCATTAGCATCATTTCATCTAAAATGTGATGAGATGAAAGCAAAGAGCAGTTGCAGAGATAAATAGGTATGTACTTCAGGAGAACTAGGCGTAGCAAAACACACGTGGAACTTCCTATGTATTATTCCAGCAAAGGGATGTGAGAGCAACAGAGGAACATGGCTTTTTATCCCCAAAACTAAAGGAGGTCTCGCCTTCTAATGGAGAGGTCCTTAAGGAAACCCCACGAGAGAGATCTTCAGGAAATCCCTTCACACGACAGACTGTTGTGGATGGCAGGAAATTGGATGTGACATCTAAACAGTCTTTGAGAGGCCTCCCTTCTGCCTCAGCAGTTCTGCTGCTGCACTATCCCTACTGCCTGCTGCCTGAATGATTTTTCACAGCTTTCAGTGAAAATAGTGTGGGCAGAGTATTCTTAAAGGCACGCCGTTGGTGGCTGTTAGCCTGTGCTGCTGACTCTCTTGTGCTTCTTTCTTCTGGGAGGTGGGGTGTTGAGTAGCCAGAGACTTTTCACATCAACCCTTTAGTGTTCCAGACTCTGAAGTGGTTCTGTGCCTGATTTCCTGTGGGATAGATGGAATACCTTTGGAGACCTGGGCTGTGTTCCTGCTCTTCCTCTGCAAGTCTGCATGTCCCACTTTGCTGCCAGTGCAAACATAACAGATGATGTGACTGTCGCTTTCTCAGTGTATTTTTTAGGCCCACCTTCTGCTGTCTTCACTCTGAGAGTTATGTCAGCTTCTTAAATGTTATGTGGAATCTCCAACTTGTACACAAATGCTGGGCAAATTCAGTAAATGCTGCAAGAACCGTAAAAGTTACAGAAGCGGTTTTTGTTATTTGATCCTCATCTGCTGGTTTTATTTAAATGAAAAGAAAGGAAGTTATGGGTGGAAACGTCACATTCCAGTCTTAGCAGATCATAGATGCATAGATAGATGCTTTTGCTGAGTAGTCTAAGTGGGCCAAAAGGGTTGGGTGCTGAGGCTGAACCTGGGGCCTCCTCTGCTGAAACATGGGTCAATGGATCTTACAGTCCATAATTTTCTGTGGACGTTATTGCTGTTGCCAAGAGAATTGTTTCTTCATACTGTACCTGGATTATTTCTCACCCCTACTGAGAATAATATTGGCAGGTGGTGTTTAGCACGATGTCTAATATGCCCTTCTGGTTTATAGGAGCAAATGACAGTTGTTATTTGTAATACTTTCTTGAGAAAGCGATGTACAAGTATGCAAAGTTCATAGAGAAAGCTCCAGAGAAAGGAAAGGTGGCAGCTCCTAGATACTAGATGAGTACAGTGCTGATGAAGAACAAAAATGGCCAAATGTGATATGAACATGTTACAGCTACTGCTTAAAAAAAGTTCCTGTTGCACGTGCAGGTTTAAGGTAATGCTTCTTGTCACTGTTGACATCTAGACTCCAAGGTCTTGATTTACTTTCTTTTTGAACAGTTTCTACCAAGAAACCCTGGTTCCTGACAAGCATTAACACATCAGTCTGTAGTCATGTCCCTCCTGCTTTAAACACTGCAGGTCTGTCACAAAAGCTGTGAGAAGCCAATATAACCAGCTGAGTTGCAACTGTCCATTTCATTTTACATGAAGCTACATGTATGAGGCTTGAGTGAAACTGAAGAGAATATTTTGGTTGCATGGCCAAATGTGATATGAACATGTTACAGCTACTGCTTAAAAAAAGTTCCTGTTGCACGTGCAGGTTTAAGGTAATGCTTCTTGTCACTGTTGACATCTAGACTCCAAGGTCTTGATTTACTTTCTTTTTGAACAGTTTCTACCAAGAAACCCTGGTTCCTGACAAGCATTAACACATCAGTCTGTAGTCATGTCCCTCCTGCTTTAAACACTGCAGGTCTGTCACAAAAGCTGTGAGAAGCCAATATAACCAGCTGAGCTGCAACTGTCCATTTCATTTTGCATGAAGCTACACATATGAGGCTTGAGTAAAACTGAAGAGAATATTTTGGTTGGAAGGGACCTACAACAATCTTCTAGTCCAACTACCTGACTGCTTCAGGGTTGACCAAAAGTTAAATCATGTTATTAAGGGCATTGTCCAAATGCCTCTTAAACACTGGCAGGCTTGGGGCATCAACCACCTCTCTAGGAACCGCCCGTTGCAGTGTTTGACCGCCCTCTTGGTGAAGAAGAGCTTCCTAATGTCCAGTCTAAACCTCTCCTGGCACAGGTTTGAACCATTCCCATGTGTCCTTTGACTGGAAGCCAAGCAGAAGAGATCAGCACCTCCCTCTCCACTTCCCCTCCTCAGGAAGCTGTAGAGCAATAACATCACTCCTCAGCCTCCTTATCTCCAAACTAGACAGGCCCAAAGTTCTTAGCCATTCCTTAGAGGACATTCTTTCCAGTCCCAGTGTTTGACCGCCCTCTTGGTGAAGAAGAGCTTCCTAATGTCCAGTCTAAACCTCTCCTGGCACAGGTTTGAACCATTCCCATGTGTCCTTTGACTGGAAGCCAAGCAGAAGAGATCAGCACCTCCCTCTCCACTTCCCCTCCTCAGGAAGCTGTAGAGCAATAACATCACTCCTCAGCCTCCTTATCTCCAAACTAGACAGGCCCAAAGTTCTTAGCCATTCCTTAGAGGACATTCTTTCCAGTCCCTTTACCAGCTTTGTTGCCCTCCTCTGGACACATCCAAGGACTTTAACATCCTTACTAAATTCTGGGGCCCAGAACTGCACATAGTACCCAAGGTGAGGTGGCACCAACAGTGAGGGATAATCACCTTTCTTGACGGGCTGCTTATACTGGAACCATTCCCATGTGTCCTTTGACTGGAAGCCAAGCAGAAGAGATCAGCACCTCCCTCTCCACTTCCCCTCCTCAGGGCTGCTCTCCACCCACTCCTCTCCCAGTTTATACTTGTCCCTGGCATTACTCCGTCCTAGGTGCAGAATCTGACATTTTGATGTGGCATTACTCCATCCTAGGTGCAGAATCTGACATTTTGATATGTTATCTTTCATCCCATTAATCATAGCCCAATGCTCCAATCTATCTAGATCCCTCTGCAAGGCCTCTTGTCATTCAGGAAAGTCAATAGCACCTCCCAGTTTGGTATCATCAGCAAACTTGCTAACGATGCATTCAACTCCTGCATCCAGATTGTCAATAAGTGCATTGGACAGGAATGGTCCTAAAATTGAACCCTGAGGAACACTCCTGATGACTGGTCACCAGCCAGATATAGCCCCATTGGCTACAACCCTTTGAGCTGTGCCCTTCAGACAGTTCTTCACTCAGTGCAACATGAACCCACTCATCCCACAGTTGGACAACTTCTCCAGGAGGATGCTGTGAGTGACGGTATCAAAAACCTTACTAAGATCCAGAAAAACTACATCCACCACTGTCTTCACTTCATCCACTAGGCAGGTTGCCTTATCACAGATAGGTAGAAGATTAGTTCAACAGGACTTTCTGTTTGTGAATCCATGTTGACTGTTCTCTCGAAGGGTCTTCCATGGTTTAAAAACCCCAAAACCCAAAGATTTGGCGCAGGCACCAAAGGAATGATACTTCACAGTGTCTTCCCGTGCACCCTGAAACTGGCCCCGCATCCTTTGTTATATATGAAGTGAACAACGTTCATCAACAATGAGGTTAAAAGCATAAGATAACACAATTTATTATTTTCAGGACTATCAACTGTGCATTTTGAATATCACTTTAAGTTCCACTGAAAATGGCAAAAGGGCTGCTAAGTCGCTTGGGTTTCAAAATGTCACCTGTGCTTTTTTGAATGAGGGGACTGGACTAGAAAAAACAACCTTCCGATTATTAAAAAAAAAAAAAATAGGCAAAATTAAACTTGTATGGGATTCAATCTTTGTATTTTGTGAAGAATTATTAAATGAATTTTATATATAGATTGTTTTATATTTATATATATAACAATAGTTACTAATAACAACGAGAGAAGACGTGCCAGCTATAAATGCTTGTCTTTTAATCCCTACTAATTATTATACTTCATTTCTAATAGCATTGTGCTTAGGAGTCTTGGTTGTGGAGGCAGGACCCTATTATCCCAGCTGTCCTACAGAAAGAATTAGGGGGTCTGTTCTCTAAAGCGTGCCTTTCTGTCTGTATGTAAAGACATAAGTCACCAGATGGACGCTGACAGCCAGACAGAAGAATACCAGCGACCTGTCAGACAGTACTGGTGTGTGACAGGCAGTGGTACCAGCACACAAATGCTGTGGATGGCATCCAAGGGTCTTTCTTAGGTGCTGTAGTAAAGGATATTTGCAGGAGGGACTTGAAGTTGGTTGGTGAATTGGGCTTTGTGAATGTTAACTCCTCTTCCCACACCGCCTCGGTGCCCAAGGTTTCCTAAGTGGGTTTTTTGGCCTTTCAGATGATGCACTTCATTTAGTACAAGGTGTAAATTGTGAGTCTGAATTGCACGCCGTGTTCATAGTAGATTTTATATCAGGCCTCTAATATAAGAGGATGGTATTTCACAGATACTATTCAGATCACACTTCTATCTGAAGACCCGATCGGGTCGTAACTATGACAACCTCTCAGATACAGCTGCGCTTTCAGAGCAGAGATTCTCTGCTGCATTTTTTCAATATCCACATCCACAAATGGAGGGTGAGACATTAATTCAGTTCCTTTTTGGAAGGTACTAGTTGTATCTAACACCGAAAGTGCAGTGAAAATTAACCTGGAAGTTCAAAACCTGCCTGACTTTTGCTTTTGTAACAGCCTGCAGTATTTTTTACCCTACGTGCTAGTGGTGTTCTGATGCACACTGGAGTCTGCAGGTGCTGACACAACACAAAATAGTAGCAACAGGGTTATATCACATCTTCTTTTGATTTTTAATTCATCATTAATATAAGTAGTAATGTCTTCTTTGTTGTAAAAAATAAACCCGATTCATTTATGTTGTCTTTTTCTCCCCTTCTGGAGAAATGGAGAAGATTATTATTGCTTAGAGGGACGAAAGGCAAACAAGAACTCCTTTCCCTGAGAGTATTTACTGAAAACAGTAATCTTTTTTACTTCATATTTCACCACCTTTTTAAATATCGTGGGACTTCAGATGACTGCTGTAGAGTTCCGTAGAATACTTAAAAAAAATGAAGAGGATGAAATACAAATGGTCAAAATTAGTGCCTAATAAATTCTGCATGATTTTAGACTAGTCTCTAGTGAACTGTGGGTTTTTAGCTCTGCTGAATCCTATTGAATTTTTCCACTGAATGAAATACAAATAGTCAAAATTAGTGCCTAATAAATTCTGCATGATTTTAGACTAGTCTCTAGTGAACTGTGGGTTTTTAGCTCTGCTGAATCCTATTGAATTTTTCCACTGGGGTATCAATCTTTCTTCTGCTCGCTTACACATAAACGTGTATGATTTTATCATGGAAGCCCACCAGCTGAACAAAGCTCAAGGATCAGGCCGTGTTTTGCACGTTGCATTAAAGAAGTGACGGAGAGTTGTGGCAGGTCACCAAAGAATGGACTGCAGCTGGAGCCCGGGATTAATACACAAAGTGAGCTCGGGTGGTGGTCGTCAGGGAAACAGCAGGCACAGAGGCTGCTGAGAAAACAACACACAAAAAAAACCAAGATGAACTGTGTTTTTTCTCTCAGCACCCTCCATTGGTCAAGGCACTCCCTTGCCATAATGGATGTTCTTCCAGAAAAATGCCACACAATTTGTTGATTGGTTTCTAATTGAAGGTTCTGGTGTTTTTCTTGCCAGGTCCACGGGAAAGGAGTTTGCACTGAAGATCATAGACAAGGGAAAATGCTGTGGAAAGGTAGTGTACAACAATTTGCATGCCTAGGAAAAATAAGCAGAAAGAGCACCAGCCAGCTGCTCGTTAGCCACAAATGGTGGGGGTGTTTGGGTTCTCTGACTATTTTCAGAGTATCTCTTTAACAGGATGATAACACATCCAAGAAGCAAATAATAAAAGTAGCGAGTGTTAGTCTAGTGGATAATAGAGTAATGAACAAACAAATTGTCGTCTGGTTTATTGGACTAACAAAGAATATGCTAATATGTGTCCAAAATACATTAGAAAGACTTTGGTCTGTAAAATATGAGAGAGGAAATTTGCAGCTGTATGTGTATTTACGTAATTCCCATCCCTCTCTGCCTCCTGGTTTTTATATATATATATAAAATTTGCAGCTGTATGTGTATTTACGTAATGCCCATCCCTCTCTGCCTCCTGGTTTTTATCTTTTTTTTTTTTTTTTTATGGCTGTACATGCTGCTTTTCTATGCAGAACATGGATTTGGAAAGAAATTTTCAGAACCATTTCATTCTGTTTATGTAGTTTCACCATCCTGTATAACAAAGATCTCTTAACAAAAGAGTTCCTTAACTTTCTCTTTAATTCAACCTCAAAAAAAAGTTGTGAATTGTCTGTCCAGCAGATATATATTAAACATGTTACATGATTGAAGCAAGTATCTGAGAATGTCAGACCTCTTCTCACCTTCCTCCCAACTGCAGAGATTTGGAAAAAGGAAGAAAAAAAAACCCAAGCCAAGAATGTAGACGAAGTGTTGGAAGAGATAACAAGAGATAAAATACTTGTATTTTCACTGGTTTGCAGTATCATAAAAACAAAGTAGTTGAGGAACTTAACACTAAACTATGATCCATTTGTTATTTGCTAAAAGAACACTGAGGGCACAGTATTAATTAGCAATCAAATTCTGGATTAAAGTCCCTTTGAGAGTAGGAAACGTGCCATTCTCTCAAGGATGACTTAAAAGATGGATTTTTGATGCAAACAGCTTAATTTTTTATGTAAATGATTGCACTGAAAGGATTCTAGAGAGAACTTTGCAAGGAAGTCAGGGTTTCAATTCAAAGGTACTGGATTTTTCAATTACGTAGAGTGAGTGCTCTGGAGTGTAATTCAGAGCTCTAGGAAGAGGTACCAAGTCTATATGACATTTTTATACAGTAAGGAGCTGTATATTACTGTATGCTAATGCAGTACCTGCTGTGATGACTTGCTTTAAGTAGAGGTCCTCACATAGAAATGTTTTATCTATGCAGATTTGAAGTTGTGTATTAGGTGCTAGGAGGTGAGTGTTCCCATCTCTCCCTCACTTTATCTCGTATTTCCTAGGTTTATTTAAGGGAAAATTTAGGAACAAATCTTAAAAATGTGTAACCACGAGAACAAGTGTTAGAATTGCCTTTTTGGGATTAAAATGTTGCCATTTCTTTGGCTGCAGGAAGGGTGACCCAGAGTGTTTCACTGCAGAAGAAGACTTTGGGGTGATGTGTTGCATCTTCAGATGTGTTTTATTGTCTAGTCAGCTGCTTAGGTATCAGAAATTGGAATGGTCTAGAGAGAGACTGTTTTACACAGCAGCGTTTAGACATGCTTTCTGTTAATCATTCTCACTATTTTAGAACAAACAAATTTAAAAAATCAACCCCCATTGATGCATACTTCTGTGTTTTGAAAGGCCCTGTGTCTGTGTAGCTACATGAAGATGTATGTGTATGAACAAGCAGAGGACTGGTGTTAGGAAGATGGTAAAACTGTCCAGGAAGAATTCCAACCAAGAAAAATAATTACATTTTGCTACAGCTTACCCCTTCCTCCCTTCATTTCACATAAGTCCAACCTTAAAAGCACCTATCTGGCCCAATTCTGCATGACTTGTATTTCGCTCACTGCTCTCCAGCAGTTTATCTTAGATGCCCCACAACTTGACTCAAATTGACTAATGGATTTTCCACAAGTGCCTTAAATGTTAATTACACAATAATTTCTCTGTAAATAAATCATATTAATGTAGACTGAAACTGATATATATCCAGGAGAGCATTCTAACAAATTTGGGGATTTTTTTTTTACAGGAGAAAATACAGCAAAAGCAGTGGGGTGACTGAAAATAACTAACTAGATATTAGTCAGCATTTTGAGGACAGGAATTATAATAGTAGCTCAAAAAAATTTTGGAGTCTTCTTTAGGTTTTTTACAGGAGAAAATACAGCAAAAGCAGCGGGGTGACTGAAAATAACTAACTACATATTAGTCAGCATTTTGTGGACAGGAATTATAATAGTAGCTCCAAAAAATTTTGGAGTCTTCTTTAAAAAAAAAAGTGTTATTGTTTATTTTAAATAAACATTACTTGTGACTGAGCTTTATTTCAAGCCATTAACAATTTAGTCAAGTGAAAAAAAGAACAAGTAAAGCTATTGTGCATAGTCATAATTAATGGCTGTAATAAATTTAATACATTATCTGTTCTTTAGGTAGAAAAAGCTATAAGATTCTAGTTTTTGCTTGGACTCAATGCTGGTTTTGAGTTTACAGGCTTCCATCCCTAAGGCTTAGTATGCTGTGGCTGTTCACTTCTGTCTGTTGCTGAGATTCAGCATTGTGTTTAACAAAACTGCTTCATGTTTGTTTGTGTTTTGTTGTTGTTGTTTTTTTTTTCTCCAGAGCACTTTGCTTGGAGCAGACATATGTTTGTTCAGAATGACAGTTGATGCTCTTTCAAACTGAATTTCAGAGGTGTGACTGTTTAACCCATATTTGCTGCACCACACTCTCACGAGATGAGATGCACGTGGCATGTGGTTTCTGAGTTAGGTAGCCACACAGAGCTTTGGCAAAAGCACAGTGCATCTGGAAATACCCCTGGAAAGAGAAGGTGAAGTGGTGTAAGATCTGCCTGTGCACAGTGGCTCACACATCACCAGAGAACTCCTAGTGCTCTGCTCACGGGTGCATGACGTGCATGAGAGATCAGTGCATTAAACATGAATAAGTTCCAAGTCCAGCGACGTGATTTATCTGTCAAAGTGTAAGGGAACCAGTGTTTTGTGCAGGCATTGTCACTTACTTTGCAGTGAACCTAAATACAGTATCTATATTCCAGTATTTATAAAGCAAAATGCAAATCATTCTTCACGTGAAAGGGGTATGTAATTTCCTTCACTCTCCAGTGTTAACCGAGTACTAAGATGTTTCAGAATTTTTCACCTTCTAGAACTAATTTGTTCTTGAAACCCATTCCTTCCTCAGAAGTATAAGGAGGGGGGAAATTAAACTCAATCTGTGTGCTAGTGAGCTGTTGGAGCCACAACGACTTAACTGAGCTATTACCTATTTTGCAGATTGGAAATCTGAACATACATATAAAACGGACTGAAATCCATAACCAGTTATAATAATTCTTTTTCTGTGTATAATCCACGACTTTTTTAAAAAAATAAAGTCCTTGAAAATAAATCCTAGGTAATCTGTCCTCGAGTAACCTCTACATGAGAGGTGAAGGCTGGAGAGGATCAAGAACATGTTACTTATTGATGAGGGGAGGCAGGTTCCAATGATCCAGCTTCGGGGGGGAGGTTGTGAATTTAATTTCACCCCATAATACCCCCACAAGAACATAACCTGCACTTCCTGAGTTGCTGTCATGTCCTGGGGTCTTTTTTTCAGTGATATCCAATTGGTTATGTGTGTGAAATACGGCGTTTTAAACGAAGTTTGGGCAATGATGAAGTACAGTTAGGCAAAAATCCAAGTTAAAATCCAGCAGCTGACAATAACCCTCTGCTATTTCAATTAATCAGCAAAAAGGGTGCATACTGATGAGGTGATCAATGGTCAGCTGATCAAAGGAAAGTGAATTGGCCAAATCGTGTCTATTCAGAGAAACTTCTGGCCTCTTTTCTGAGCAGGAACACCTGATTGAAAATGAAGTGTCCATTCTACGTCAGGTGAAGCATCCAAATATCATTATGCTTATAGAGGAAATGGACACCCCAACAGAACTCTACCTGGTGATGGAGCTGGTCAAGGTAAGACTAAAGAGCCTTTTTTTTAAAAAAATTATCTGTGTTGGTGTGAAATCTAGGAACATTAAGATCTTGGGAGACGTAATCAGATCAGACTGCAGTGGTAGCCTGCATTTTTAATCATGCAAATACTCTTGTACTCTTGCATTAATGGCATTTGTGTCTCTTCATTCGTAATTAGACTATTTACACAGTTTTGAGGTAATTTTGCAATGTGCTCAGTCTCGAGAGGAGTGGATAGTGTTTTTTAGATCATGTTTACAATATGCGGGGGTAATAGTGATATGCATTTACTGACACAACACCTGCATTTATTTTACTAATGTCTTGGTTTAATAATTTGCTTTAAAGAAGCAAACTCTCTTTAATGAATTTATCTTTGTAGGCAATAGATCCAGTGAATAGTTTAAGCACAACTGATTATGGGTCTAGCAAAATTAAAACTCAAAACTCAAAAAATCTCATCTTGGCACACTTTACTTATAACAAACATTCCCTCACCTTATTTCCAGTCCACCAGAAAATAAATGCTGATTTCATGCACGTACAGAGGAAACACAAAGATGTTCGTTTTGCTGTCACCTCGTGAACTAAACACACAAGTTGCATCAAGTTTTACTCGTGCACTCTCACCTGTGTTCAGCACACACACAGCCACACTGCACATCAGCTTGATTGGTGTCGGATTCAAGTCATATACATATCATTATCATCACTTTTTATTTCTGCCTGAAACATTGTTAGATTCAAGAGTCCCCTCTAGAACGGTTGCCAGCCTGGGACACCTCTGAAGAAAGTCTGTAGTTGTTGATTTCACAATTTCTGCAGCCTACTGTCCCATTTCTTGTCTTTCTAGAAGTTATTTTTACATAGTAGAGACTTTTTTGGTTTTAAGACAATTTTATTTTTTAAAAAATATTTTAATACACCACTATCGTGGCCTGTATTTCCCGAATTGCTGCTGGTTTTCCATGTGTGTTGAAATGCTTGGAATGCCACCCACAGCTCAGACAGATCGCTCCTACGGATGTATCCAGGGAAACCATCACAGAGACACCCACATCATTTGTTGCAAGGACTGGAAATGCTGCCCCAGTAACTGCCTTACGTGGTGTTGTGTATTCCACGAGGAGTAGGGCAGCTGTAATGGGAGGCTGCAGTTCAGAAATCACCTGCAGGTGCTGCATTTTGGTGTATCATAGAATCATGTAGATGGGAAAATATCATTGTTATGTTATTTGTTCTCTTCAGCTACATTTATTTGATATTTCTGCAATATCTACAGAAATTCCAAATTGCAGGTCGCTACAATTGCTGAATATTTGCTACGTTAAGCTTTTTATTATTGGGCTAATTCATATTACCTTAGGCTTTATTCAAAGTTAGGGATGGTTTTTGCTACACGGTATTTTATTGATCAGATGAAGGAAAAGGAAACCGTATGCCTGTACCTGTAGGTAATGTAAACGGGTGATCAAAGGTAGGAAGATCAATAGAATGAAATCAAAACAGAGAACAGCTGTGATTTGCCCAAACTCAGACACCAGCAGCCTGGAGTAGAGTTGAGAATTTAATGGAGATGACCCAAGTCTCAGTCTAGTATCGTGGTGATCTTTCTGCAAAATGTTTGTTTTTACTGTTTAACAGACATTTGAGCGTGTGTTTTGTAAAGGAAGATTTTACGTGGCGTTTTTACACAATGTGTAATCTTATCTTAATAGATCTTATTATCTTTCCATTGCTTAGGGAGGAGATCTCTTCGATGCTATCACTTCTTCTACAAAGTACACCGAGCGAGACGGGAGCGCGATGGTCTACAATCTGGCCAGTGCACTCAAATACCTTCATGGTCTCAACATCGTGCACAGAGACATCAAGCCAGAAAATCTCCTGGTACGTCCCACTTATTTTCTAATATTTTTTTCTGACTTTGTTTCTCATTAGTGCAAATGCTCGTGTATAAATGTCAAGGAGCTGAGCAGAGAAGAGCAGGAATGCTAATTTAGGATAAGTATGTATGAAATAAATCTTCTGCCATGAGGTAGCAATCACCATAACCCAAATGAGCTGCGCTCAAACCCCTCCTTAGACCTATCTTTATTTACATTTTGATTGGCTGCCACGTGGGTAAGCAGGAGCATTGTCTTATAAAACAATGAATTTTAAAACTATGCGGATGAATTATTTATTACAGTTTGGGAGAAAAGGTGGGCCGAGTGCCATTTCTTTGAATGATCATACGGTTATCTCAAGGAAATTTTATTTTTTTCTTTCACTGGCGTAGTAGGAACATCTTTCTGGTGATTTACCAGCGTTCCAGCCACGAGTTAACTCTGTACCACCTACATTTATTTAGTGCTGGGGGACTGACTACTTCTGTTTTCAGCAGAGGCATAAAATAACCGTGCTGACAAGGATTGCTGTGAGGTCTGCGTTGGGAACTGCTCAGGGTACAGAGTATCCCAGACCAGATTTTCAACTATTACAAGGACAGGGCTATAAATTGAATATATTTTCCAGTTAATAATCAATTCTTTCCCAACTAATTCCACTGACAGTGCTTAGCAATCTAAATAAGCCCTCAAATAGATCAGATTGTTTAGCAGAAGGAAGGGAGGTGGTGCTTCTGGAAAATGTAGTCACAGCAACGTGGCACTTAAGAGTAAGAAAATGAAGGTGGAAGTCTCCCTTATTATCAGTGCATCTTCAAACACAGGCAGTCCAAAGAAATTCTAAGCTCTGGTTAGTGACTGAATTGGTTATAAATAGGCACAAATGTCCTTTCTGCCTAGAAATCCCAAAGAGATTACTCAACAGATGCAAATCTTTTTTGCTGTGATTGACAGAGGCAGAATGTTAAGATGACCTACTGGTACTGAATGTAAATGCAAATAATTCTCATCAATTGCTACCCATAATTGCAAGTAGTTAGTTCTTTCACACAGGGTCACCCAGCTGTCTCAATTACATTCTCTTTACCAGTCGTGGATTTAAAAATACAAACTCCAAGAGTAATAGCAGATATTCTTCTTGATATAACACCTTCATATGTTTCTATTAATTAGATGAATTGCACAGGGGAATGGGGGAAGATATTGTGGCCTTTGCAGTTGTTTGAGGAAACAAAATAAATTCGGCTATTCTGGGGATTCCGGAGTCCTACGTTCTAGAAACTAGATCCCATTGAAATCATGTTAATGTAAAAATTTTGCTTTAAGAACAAAGTGAAGATTAATTTATTAGGGGTATTTCCTTTGCTGGTTTGATTTGGTTCTGATAGAGCTGTTGTATAACACTTTTCTTTCTATTAAAATGGAGCTGCTTTCACCAACAAAATGACCCAGAGCAAGATGTGCTAAATTCTTCTTGGGACTTTTGGTAAGATGCACTGGGGTCTGCACAGACACCAAAACACTCCTCAGTCAGCCTTCTCACTCCTGTGCTGAACTTACCTGGATTAAGCTCGGTAAGATGCACTGGGGTCTGCACAGACACCGAAACACTCCTCAGTCAGCCTTCTCACTGCTGAACTTACCTGGATTAAGCTTAGGGGAGACATTTGCCTATGAAACATCCAATATGCTAAGTTTAGTGAGAGATCTCATTGCAGCTGCAAATCCCATATTAAACTGTAGGTGCCAATCAAATGGAAGTACAGAATTATATTTTTCTTAATATCTTTAAAACTCGCAGCGTTCCAGGATTGGGTTTTCTTCTCCCACCTCTGGTTGCTTGAGGCTCTATCATGGTCTGACCTACATAGTTGGCTGACAGCTCCACTGAACACCACTGGCTCCAGCCATGCTCATACCATTCTTCTCTTCTTTCCCTACAGGGCTGGGGAAGTTCCCTCTTTTTTTCCTATCTTCTTGATTAATGTGGTCCAAACAAATTAAAGGCTTTAAAAAAAAAAAAAAGCAGATGTTCTCCTCCTCATTCTGTTTTAATTTTGCCGATTCTAGGTATGTGAATATCCAGATGGAACCAAGTCTTTGAAGCTGGGAGACTTCGGGCTGGCAACTGTGGTGGAAGGACCTTTATACACGGTCTGTGGGACACCCACCTACGTGGCTCCAGAAATCATTGCAGAGACAGGGTGAGGATGAGTGGCCAAGACACAGGTCTTGTCACCAGCTGGTTTTGGCAGGTAGCTCTCCACTGTTGTAAGAACTGGAATCTTCTAATGGGATGGTCCTCCATCTTTATGTAGCCTGTGAGAAAACTGCATCAAGCAGTTCCTCAGGCCAGTTTCCTTCCTCACCTGCTCCCAGGACTCACCTTTGCCGTGGCAGCTGCTTGGGGAAAAACAGACAAGAAAAAAGCAGTGTTCATGTTAGAATAACTTCTATTGGAAGAGACCCCAGAGGTCACCAGTCTCAACCTGTTCTCAGGGCAGGTCTAATTAGATCGTGTTGATTCAAGTGACCTTGTTTGGGTGACACATGCTATTTGATAAACTGTTGGCTTAATTAAACAACCCCGTTTTTCTGTATTTAACAGGTGGTTGCATGAATATAAAATAATTCTGTGAAATGATAGAATTTCACCAGTCTTTCCTTTCAGACCTCTGCTCCATCCTAGCTGACTCTTGCCATGGCTGTGACCGTTCTGAACTTGGCCTTCCCAATGGAGGGATGTTTGTTGTGTTGTTTCAAGCATCATTCAGTGCATTTGTTGTATCAAGGAATATTTCACAGCTGCAGCAAGCTCGAACATCAAAGGGCCCTTCATTTCCATGGTTTAGATTTTTTGACAAATAGAATCTACTGGATAGAAAAGGATAGGAAAGACGCCCTCTCTCTGACCTCTAGTGTTTTAATTTCTGTGCTTTAAAGGAAAGGTGCAGTTCTTTTTCCCTGTGTTACTCACTCAAGAGGCTGGAGAATTGGTGTCTTTCCTGTTGCTTAGCAACACACGATAACCTTAGAGATAGTTCCTCCAATGTGGGGACTGAGAAAGCACATCCTTGTCTTTTAGCATTTAGTGAGTCTGGGTTGGGAAACCTGGGTACTGAATTGAATCTGAGTATATTCAGAAGACCCTGGAGACTCTTGAGGCTTCTGAAGGAGCTAAAAAGGAAAGGAAAAAAAAGAGAGAAAAATGATGTTATCACAGTTTCCTAAAGACTGTGAATGACCCTAAGTAAAATGATGCTTAGGTACAAAATGCATTCCACAGATACTCAATATATATTCGTGTAATCAATTGTTTGATTGGGATGAGTTGTTTTTTTTTAACAGAGGCAGAATGTTAAGATGACCTACTGGTACTGAATGTAAATGCAAATAATTCTCATCAATTGCTACCCATAATTGCAAGTAGTTAGTTCTTTCACACAGGGTCACCCAGCTGTCTCAATTACATTCTCTTTACCAGTCGTGGATTTAAAAATACAAACTCCAAGAGTAATAGCAGATATTCTTCTTGATATAACACCTTCATATGTTTCTATTAATTAGATGAATTGCACAGGGGAATGGGGGAAGATATTGTGGCCTTTGCAGTTGTTTGAGGAAACAAAATAAATTCGGCTATTCTGGGGATTCCGGAGTCCTACGTTCTAGAAACTAGATCCCATTGAAATCATGTTAATGTAAAAATTTTGCTTTAAGAACAAAGCAAAGATTAATTTATTAGGGGTATTTCCTTTGCTGGTTTGATTTGGTTCTGATAGAGCTGTTGTATAACACTTTTCTTTCTATTAAAATGGAGCTGCTTTCACCAACAAAATGACCCAGAGCAAGATGTGCTAAATTCTTCTTGGGACTTTTGGTAAGATGCACTGGGGTCTGCACAGACACCGAAACACTCCTCAGTCAGCCTTCTCACTGCTGAACTTACCTGGATTAAGCTTAGGGGAGACATTTGCCTATGAAACATCCAATATGCTAAGTTTAGTGAGAGATCTCATTGCAGCTGCAAATCCCATATTAAACTGTAGGTGCCAATCAAATGGAAGTACAGAATTATATTTTTCTTAATATCTTTAAAACTCGCAGCGTTCCAGGATTGGGTTTTCTTCTCCCACCTCTGGTTGCTTGAGGCTCTATCATGGTCTGACCTACATAGTTGGCTGACAGCTCCACTGAACACCACTGGCTCCAGCCATGCTCATACCATTCTTCTCTTCTTTCCCTACAGGGCTGGGGAAGTTCCCTCTTTTTTCCTATCTTCTTGATGTGATGATTATTATTTTCCAAACCAATTACAGGATTTAAAAAAAAAAAGAGTTCTCCTCCTCATTCTGTTTTAATTTTGCCGATTTTAGGTATGTGAATATCCAGATGGAACCAAGTCTTTGAAGCTGGGAGACTTCGGGCTGGCAACTGTGGTGGAAGGACCTTTATACACGGTCTGCGGGACACCCACCTACGTGGCTCCAGAAATCATTGCAGAGACAGGGTGAGGATGAGTGGCCAAGACACAGGTCTTGTCACCAGCTGGTTTTGGCAGGTAGCTCTCCACTGTTGTAAGAACTGGAATCTTCTAATGGGATGGTCCTCCATCTTTATGTAGCCTGTGAGAAAACTGCATCAAGCAGTTCCTCAGGCCAGTTTCCTTCCTCACCTGCTCCCAGGACTCACCTTTGCCGTGGCAGCTGCTTGGGGAAAAACAGACAAGAAAAAAGCAGTGTTCATGTTAGAATAACTTCTATTGGAAGAGACCCCAGAGGTCACCAGTCTCAACCTGTTCTCAGGGCAGGTCTAATTAGATCGTGTTGATTCAAGTGACCTTGTTTGGGTGACACATGCTATTTGATAAACTGTTGGCTTAATTAAACAACCCTGTTTTTCTGTATTTAACAGGTGGTTGCATGAATATAAAATAATTCTGTGAAATGATAGAATTTCACCAGTCTTTCCTTTCAGACCTCTGCTCCATCCTAGCTGACTCTTGCCATGGCTGTGACCGTTCTGAACTTGGCCTTCCCAATGGAGGGATGTTTGTTGTGTTGTTTCAAGCATCATTCAGTGCATTTGTTGTATCAAGGAATATTTCACAGCTGCAGCAAGCTCGAACATCAAAGGGCCCTTCATTTCCATGGTTTAGATTTTTTGACAAATAGAATCTACTGGATAGAAAAGGATAGGAAAGACGCCCTCTCTCTGACCTCTAGTGTTTTAATTTCTGTGCTTTAAAGGAAAGGTGCAGTTCTTTTTCCCTGTGTTACTCACTCAAGAGGCTGGAGAATTGGTGTCTTTCCTGTTGCTTAGCAACACACGATAACCTTAGAGATAGTTCCTCCAATGTGGGGACTGAGAAAGCACATCCTTGTCTTTTAGCATTTAGTGAGTCTGGGTTGGGAAACCTGGGTACTGAATTGAATCTGAGTATATTCAGAAGACCCTGGAGACTCTTGAGGCTTCTGAAGGAGCTTAAAAAAAAAAAAAAGGAAAAAAAAGAGAGAAAAATGATGTTATCACAGTTTCCTAAAGACTGTGAATGATGCTAAGTAAAATGATGCTTAGGTACAAAATGCATTCCACAGATACTCAATATATATTCGTGTAATCAATTGTTTGATTGGGATGAGTTGTTTTTTTTTAACCCAACACAAGTAACACAGTCTTGTTTTCTCAGATATGGCTTGAAGGTGGACATTTGGGCTGCAGGTGTGATCACATACATACTGTTATGTGGATTCCCTCCTTTCCGCAGGTGAGTTTCCCTGCATGTCAAAGGGGAAAAAAACAGTAAAAAAACCCAAGTTCTTTATAAGCAAGTCTTATTTATCTCCCTGAAGGCGGCATTTTGGGGAAAAAAAAATGATTAGATTGATGCGTTTTCTTTACATTTTTATTCTCTTTCACTTGTCCTTCTTGTCAGGCTTTGGGATCGATTTTATTTCCTTATTTTTCTGAGGCAGGGGCTGGTTTCCTGCCGTGAGCAGGGATCATTAGTGGTGTGTGAGGGCATCATTTCTATCCCTTTTGTCTGCGCTGTGTGTCCCAGCCCGGTGAGCGGCCCTGCCTTGCCCTCTGCTGTTTCTGGCTGCACACAGCAGCTCCCTTCTGCTTTCCAGTTTGTGGTGTGAAGGTCAATGGTAAAACGAGTGCTCAAGTTGCATTTTGAACCTTCTTTTAATCTGGAGAACCATCCTACGGGCAGTGGGGTTGGCAAACATGATTCTTGCTCCTCGAGGTCACAACACGTATGAGTTCTGCTAAAAATCAAAGGGATACGCTTCGTGCCCCAGCAGTTTTTTGGCCAGAGAATGAGACAGAATTAGCACATTTTAATAAGGAATGCTCCTTTTAACTTACAAGAGGAGAATATAACTTCGTGCACAGCCTGTTTTTCCATTTTTGCAGCAAAACGCTGAGTTTTTAATTAAAAATCATCAGACTGAATATTTTGCAAAGAATACAATATAAAAAATTGTCAGTGGAATAATCACCTTTCAGTTCAGGTATTTAGTTTTTGCATGCGGGTAGTTCATGTTTAAAACTGAAAACGTGTTTTGAAAGATGTATTAAACAAACAAAGGGCAATTGCTTTAGATAGTTTGGAGGTTGAGCATGGCCATACTGTGCTATTAGAATTAGCTATTAACCAAGCTTGATAAATATTTATTGCAATAACAACCCAGGAGGCAAAGTGTTCATTGCAGAAGTAGGCTGGGTGGATGTTGACAGTGGCCAGGGCCAGCAGAGGTTAAAAACCAAAAAACTTGCTGCCATTGATCCCTGAATATTCATGATACCGTGGTTTTGACACAAAACTACTTACCCTTTCGATATCTGTAATCTGCCAATACTCAGTAAACTAAATGCATCACGTGTTTTCCATACATCCTGTTTGGATTTTGGAAATTCTCCTGTTGTGATAGACTAACAGAAGAGACTTATTTCACCCCATTTAGTAAACTAAATGCATCACGTGTTTTCCATATGTCCTGTTTGGATTTTGGAAATTCTCCCGTTGTGATAGTTTAACAGAAGAGACTTATTTCACTCCATTTCCCCCCCTTGTCATACGCTTTCTGTAGCAGGTCCTTTACAACTAGAATGGCAAGTGACTTATTTTTTAATCACCTTTCCTGTTCCTGTGTGTTAGCCATGCAGTCTCTATGCCAGTGGAACTCTTTTCACCTCAATATATCAGTTTTTTTCACCTCCATATATTAGTTTTTCTGTTCTCATCATTCCTTATTATGCATTTATAGCACTTGATAATTTCTGTTCCATCCCCAAGTTAAAAATTCACGCGACAAATTCACTTCCTTCTCGTGACCTTTTTCATTTCTGCTGCTCTACAGTGAAAACAACCTTCAGGAAGACCTCTTTGACCAGATACTTGTTGGGAAGCTGGAATTTCCATCGCCCTACTGGGATAACATCACTGATTCAGCAAAGGTACTGATTTTTTTTCCTCAAATCTGAACTAGTTCTCTGCCAAGCCACCGGAGACTGCTCTGTTGGGAAGGCAGGAGATTCAGAACAGACTCTCAGCCCTCTCAACCCCATGTTGATTGAATGAGGTTGTCATCATTTGTTCCTCTTTCACTTGAGCTAGTTATTAGAACTTCTCAGGAGGTGCAGCCAGCCTGATCTGCCATTGCTGATAGTTCTTGTGTTACCATCACCATTTGTGTTTAAAATTATTGGGCCTGTAGGATAAAGTTTCCAACTTTTAAGCCCCACTTCTCAAGATCATTCAGTAACGTGCTCTGAATGCTATTCAAGGACTCTCATTAGTAAGTGGAGATTATTTGTTAGCCAGCCAATGAGAAGTTGCATTTTTTCTGCATTTCCCAATGGCTATTTATCCATTTGCCAACATTTCCTCAGCTCCAGCCAACCCACACTCTTCCAGAATGCATTTTGAACAAACAAGGCCCTCAATCTTGGTATTAAAGGTGACCTTTCACTTAAGACTTAGCCTAAAGAACAGGTTGGGAAACCTCTCAGATAGGTATGTCATTATCTCCTTGGAGAGGCCATTTCCCAAAACTGAAGTGATGAACAATCTCTTTGAAATACTCGTGATAAGAAGAAGACAACTGACAATTTGGAGGCTATAAAAGGGTTTTTTGAAGGGGAAATTTGAGCTGTTCATTTGTGAGGGAAATAGATTTGTCTTAAAAGGCTTGTAGAATCAGAAGTGACAGCAGTAAACTAGTTGTTAGTTGCGTAAGAAGAAACTTGACTGAAAAAACAACCGAAGAAAGTTGGTTTAGATTTTTTGTTTAATTTTATTTTACTGACTGCTTTGTATCAATGACCTCTTAAGGCTTATCATATCTGTAGGCACTGTTAATGGAAGGGCCATAGATTTGATAAAGCTGCAGACATCTGCTCTAGTGCCCCTAAAGCATGGTCAAAGCCACAATACCAAATACCTTGGGATTCACCATATAATTAGTAGAATTAAGCGTTCTTCTCTTTGTGCTATACCAGGTAACCCTTAGCTGATGAAATGAGTTCAATGTCTTTTTATTCTTCGGGAGCAACACAGACCAGAACATAGTTTTCAAATACTTTCAGCAGTTTCTTGAATCTCAGATGCAGTTTGTTGCCTCTGATTTGTGCTCTTTAGGTTCTGTGCCCGCTCACTGCCCACAGAGGAGCTCACCTGCCCCAGGTTTATTTTCATTCTGGCCACCTACATGAATACATAGAGAACAAACTGGAACATTCTAGCTGATTTTTTTTAACTTTTCACCTGGTTTCAAAAGACTTGGCGAAACATGAATACGATAAGAAAGTTGGTAGGAAATATGCTGTGCAGCATCCTCTTAAACCTGAAGGGCAAAGTTTTTGTTCCCCTAAAGTCACACTGGAATGGCTGGTTCTGCTATGAGTGCAAGCTGTTGCTTTTTACCCAGGTAGCACAAAAATTGCACTGAGAAAAACCTGGTGCAAGAGTATTTTCTATTGTAATATCCTTACCCGCTCTCCTCAGGTAGCACAAAAATTGCACTGAGAAAAACTTGGTGCAAGAGTATTTTCTATTTGTAATATTCTTACCTACTCTCCTCAAATTTTTTATTTATTTTTTTAACTGAAGGAGTTAATTAGCCTGATGCTACACGTGAATGCTGAAGCCCGATATACAGCAGCACAGATCCTAAGCCATCCCTGGGTGTCAGTGAGTAAAGTACATTTTACTTCTCTCTAATTTGATATTAAATCTGTAAATCTAACCATGAAAGTGTACTTTTCAACAAAAGCAATACACTCCTACTATGCCCATTTCTGTTTATTGAACCACTGGTCCAATTTCTACTTCAAAAGAGAACAGCAAGAGTCTGAAGGTAGCTCTGAGAGCCCCCTTGGCTTCTGCGCTCTGGAAGGACAGAGGGTGACACTGACTGTGACTAGAAGGTGCTGGGGGTTGCTATAACCCTGCCTGAACATCTTTTGGGCATCTTTTTTGTTATTTCACATTCAACCTAGAAAACAGTCATCTCAAAAACGTGCCTTGGAAGCACTGCTGTGCACAGTGGTGTCTTGCTTGCTGCAGTGCCCCTTGAAGTGTGATCTCCCGTGTCTTGAAGCACTTCAAGCTTCCTAAGAGCCATAAAATTAGCAAATAAAATACCTAATTTAACATATGCACTAAGCTGATGGCTGCTGGGTCCTTCATCTTTTGGGGAAGCAGCAATGGGGAACATTCATATCATTATTAATAAATATTAGTTTAAAAATTAGCAAATAAAATACCTAATTTAACATATGCACTAAGCTGATGGCTGCTGGGTCCTTCATCTTTTGGGGAAGCAGCAATGGGGAACACCAAAGGGCATTACTTATTGATTTAAAATCAGTTCATTATTAATAAATACTAGATTTACATATCAGTGTTTATTTCCACACCCATTTTAAAAGAGATCTGAATATGATCTATGACTGAATATGATCTATGGAGTTCCCTCAGACAAGAGAAAACAATTATAATGTTTTCTCTTAGCATGTCTACACATTTCAAATGCTCTTTTCAAATGTGTTCGTGGTACTGTGTAATGTTTTCACACTTAGGATGTGATGGACCATTTAAAATGCTGATTTGAAGGAAAGCCAAATGACAAAGCTGCTTTTCAGCATTATTTCAAGCATATTACTTTTAACATGCTTGAATCAAACTTGCGGCCGATAATTATGGGACAATTATGGGATGCAGCATCACGTGGCATTTTAAGAAACCCAACTTCATAGGTCAAACAGTGGTTGCTATGTTCTTTTCCTCTGTAATTTTGTCTTAGTGTGTTTGAACTATATCTCCTGTAGCAGAGTGCATTCACTTTTGGGCTGCCTCTCCAAACACTTACTTCACATTAAAAAGAAGAAAGTACCTGATGATAATAGAAAACTTCTCTTTTACTCAGTTACATTCAAACATACTTTTGTTGTTGTTTTTTTCTTTCCCTAACTCGGATATTGTGTTTATTTTTATACAGGATGATGCTTCCCAGGAGAATAATATGCAAGCTGAAGTAACAGGTAAACTGAAGCAGCACTTTAATAACACCCTACCCAAGCAAAATAACACATCTGCTGGGGTTTCTGTCATCATGGTAAGAGAAATGAACGTTTTTATACATTGATATTACACTTTGCATAGTTTCCTAACACTGCTCTACGAGCACGTGGGGTGCAAGAATAGCAAAAGCTAGAATAGTTGTCTAATTCTAGTCTTTACTTCTGTGTAGTGTGGATTGTCTCACCATCGCTTGAGAGCAACTGAATCTATCACAGCCTGCTACCCAAGCTATACAAACAGGCTTTCAAACCAAAACGTGTAAACACCAAGTAGCTGTATGTTGAAATTAAGCTTATTAATGATTTGAAATCTTTCATTATAAAAACTGTGATTTTTTTTTTGTCATACTGACCACCTAGTTAGTTAAGTGGGCTCTTCCCATCTGCCTGACCAAGTATTGCTGGATCTTCAGCACACTCTTGCCAGGAGACAAGACTCCATTTCAGAAACTTCCTTCCTAGTATCCAATGTTTACCACGTTAATTTTGTCCCAATTTAACCACCGCTGTGTTTTTTCTGTTCCCCAGTGGGGAGCTTCCTTCAAAGCTCCTACAAAGTTCCTACAAAGGAACCCTGATGACCTAGAGCTGAGCTCACACAAACAGGAATTCCAGAAGGCAGAGGTGTGAATCATGGTAGAAGAAATGGAGGTTACTCTAATGAGTACTCCTAATTGGCCAGTCACTTTTGCAGAGAATATAGAGATTGGACTGCCATTCTCTTCTTATTGTGGTCCATTTTATCAAATGCAAGGATGGACACTGCACACAAAGAGGATCTTTAGTTACGAAAAGAAAAATAAAACCATCTCTGGTAGTACCATAACAGTGATTTCCACCCCCACACCTCCCCATTAGTATTAATTACCCTCAAAGTCCAGCCCACTTATGCTATCGAAGAATAGTTTGAATCCTCTGGAAGTAGGTACATTTAAATAATGTTTCTGCATACATAGATGGCCAAAGATTTAAATGTAGGAATAGTGGTAACATAAAATAAAGTCAGAAAATAGATTTCAGGTTCATACTGTTGTCTGCGTTTCATTTGACAGTTTGACTTGACAGTTTGAGAGGGACTTCAGAGCTTCCTTCTTTATACTGTTGAGACTATGGATAAGCCTGAAGCTGAAAACTGGTATCAAATGTACTATATATGTAATAAGAGCAATTTTAATTCTAACTCTCAGCCCCTCTCCAACTTGCATGCCACTTCAGCCTGTCTCAGATCTGACACAGCATAGCTTCTGCCTTCCTGTCAGCGTGGGTTTGTTCTGATGCTGTTACCTACTGACCTTCCTTCAGCCAGGGAAGTAGACCTCATGAAAAGTTTTTAGTTTTGCCTTTTCCTGCCTTATTTCCTTCTAACAGGTATGGAAGGACTTAGTGCACAATTATTTATTTCTGAGCACAGGGAAAAGTAACTTCTTGTTCAAAACACTGTGATCTAATGAGAGTTGAGCCCTCAATTTGTTATTCTTGCCCTGGTTTATCTGGAGCATTGAAACTGTTATCTTCATATATTAAGGAGTTCTTCGCTTGTACTAGGCCTCGTTGCTTAAAACCCCTGGGATTCAGACAAGCAGAGTGTTGTAATTCTCATGTATTGCAGCTCATTGCTTTATCAGCCCACCCCCACGTGTAACGGAACCCCTTTTAGCATCACTTCATGCAAACATTGTCATCTGGCCAGTGCAGATAATACCATCATGTGGCAGATAAGTAAAACTGCACAAACCTACCCCAGTGCTCTCGCACAGGAGGCTCTGTCTGCCCCTAAAAGCATGTTGCTGTTAACTCATTATTGAGCAGATAAGTAAAACTGCACAAACCTACCCCAGTGCTCTCGCACAGGAGGCTCTGTCTGCCCCTAAAAGCATGTTGCTGTTAATTCATTACTGATTTCTTTTTTTTTTTTTTTTTAAATCAATTTCAAAATGTTCTGTAAATCTAAATTTGTTGCAATCGTGTTAGTTCTGCTTAAAGTAAGTCTAGTTTCTGTCCCTTGCTTCCTTCCTTTTTTTCCTCCTTTCCCAACGCCTGCATTGCTTTCCTCTGAGTAGGTCCAAGGCAATGGTACGTACTAACTGCGATGCTGCCTTCTGCTGCACAAAAACTACATGGTCTCCATTTTTAACAAGAAGAAAGGAGAAATAACTCAGCCAGTCTGAAGTGGAAAAAGCTTGAACAGCCACACAAAAACAGTAGAGGAAATCTTTTAAACACTTATAAAAAAAATTTCTGTATTGTGATCTTGTTAAGCAAACACTGATATAACAGCTATTTTTTACTTCCTCAGACACATCTTGGTCTATTCCCTTGGGAGTCATTTTGAGTATGTGTGTATCTTATGATACCCAAAAGCAATTAGAAAAAGATAGGAATCCTATGAAGACAGAACCAAAGAACCCAAAACCACTGAAATAAGCATTAAAATAAAAACGTTAGTTGTCACTTCCGCCTTTATGGCAAAGAACCCAAAACCACTGAAATAAGCATTATCTCCATTTAAAATAAAAACGTTAGTTGTCACTTCAGCCTTTATGGTGTCACAAGGTAACAAGTCCTAAATTAATAAGAAACAGTCTTACTTAGCAACAGTAGAATTAAGCTTCCTCTTCCGTCTTAAAAACTACAAAAATCTTAAATTGCTCAGGCATTTCCTTGCACACTCCCTTTGCAAAGTCACTTGTTAGCAGAGTATTCAACTGTGTATTACTGAATTTTTTCCTTGTATCTCTATGCATGTAGACTAATATTGTAATTTGATTAAAAAAAAAACCCCACAAACCAAACCAAACCCCAACCCCAAAACACCTTGAATTTAAAATATTTAACCTTTTCTTCTAGGAACTGTTATACTCAGTATTTTGGTCTGAAAGAGCCTGGTGGGGGGCTAAGGGGTATGGTGAGGCTGCTTGCTGCCTCCTCTGCTGCAGCACACAACCACATCAGTGCACAAAATGGAATAGTTTCAGCAGGAGAGGCTGAGTGTGACAGATTCCAAAACGACCCTCCATCTCTATACCTGCAAATCCTGGAAGTCCTCTATTTGAAAAATCAGAGATATGAGTCCAGTTGTCTTTGCCAGGTAAAAGAGAAATGGGAGTTCAGGTACCCCATAATGAAATAAGTTTTTACTACCAACTATATGATAAGTTTAGAAAAAAGAGGCTAGGTACCTTACTTCTGCTGTCCTTGATGACTTTGATGCAGTAAACCACATCTGAAAAAAATACACATGCTAAATTTAACTTGTATCAGAAAATTATTTCAATATATAAACTACATATTTTGGTGAATAGTGAAAACTCCACTAAGAATACATAGAAATTTTCACATTAGTAGAGCAAGTCCTCATCAATCAAAGAAAGAAATTGCCAATTAAGAGGTAGAGCACCTGACCTTATTTTTACAATTAGGACAGCCCACTCAAAATATGAAATTCCCCATGATGCATAATGCTTCCACATACAGGGGGTGCCAGGGAGGTGACACATGGATTTGTGCTCTGCTCCTGGGTTCGAGTGTCACACACCTGTGGGTACCACAGAAAGGCCAAGCTGGGTGTGACCAGAGTGAGTGTACCTTGCACCACTCTACACAACCAAGTCAACTACAAAGAACTTAATTAATCTGTATTAATTTATATCTGTATTACCACTGGTACTTGAAGATCTTCCATGAAATAAATAGTTTAAGCCAAGAAATACATGGATTTATAATGATCAGTATCAGCCTTCAAACTGTGAAACAAGACGGATCGTGCTATCCCTCCAAGTCTTAGGAAGCAATTTTGATCTCTATCTTTGACACAGGAACTAATAGATTTCCCTCTGGGTCACTTTAGATGTTCCACTAGCAATTAAACATTACACCATGGTTTAATATACCTTGCAGTATCCTTCAGAGGGTATGAACGTTGTTGGCTTCAGCAGATGACACACCACAACCCACCTACTGCACTAGAGTTCTTAGGTTTCACTCTAACTTGCTACTCTCTTCTCCAGTAAACTAATTTTTAAGTACAATATTCAGAAATTATGCATTTTTGCCCCTGTGTCAGTTCATAGCTCAGTTGCCTACTCTCAACAATAAGCAGAAAAGTAGACCCTTTTCTTTAAGACAGAAAAAAAATCATTAGGTTTTCACCTGTCATGTTCACTAACAGATACGTGGTTTGTTACAGAAAATGTAGTATTAAGTTTTCACTAAGCATCATGTGATTCCTCGTGCGTGCAGAAACACAGGTACAGGAATTTTGCTAACAGCTTGTATAGTATTAAGTTTTCACTAAGCATCATGTGATTCCTTGTGTGTGCAGAAACACAGGTACACAAATTTTGCTAATAGCTTGTGTGAGAAATTCCTGCCGTATCAGAAACCACTCATTTGATTTTTTTTTTTCCACATCAGACTTGCAAGTAAAAAAAAAAAAAAATTAAACTCACACCATCACGGCAAACACCTGTCTGGAAGATAACTTTTCCTTACATTTTTCAAAGTACTGCAAAATGCTACATAAAATTACCTATATATAGTATTCCTAATGTTATTTCTCCTTTTTTTCTGGCTCTAATGCATGCACTCCATGTCTTGTAGATCGTTGTTAAGCCTTGTTAAGCCTGAAGTTAAGACAAGGCTTTGATTTAACTCGCTCTCTCATACTTTGCCTTGGTTGTTTTTTTTTCCCCCGTTTGTTTTTAGAACACAGCTCTAGATAAAGAGAGTCAGATTTTCTGCAGCAAGCGCTGTCAGGACTCTGGTAGAGCTGGACTGGAGAACATTTCAGCAGTCCCTGCTGCAGCTGATGGTCCTCGTGTGGCTGGCTCCAAGCCCCTCTTCCCTCCTGCTGCTTCTGAGCCACCCCCAGCATCTCCTGGGGATCAGCCCGGTGTGTGAGACGGACAAAAAACAAACCCAAGGGCAGCTCCCTGTGCTCTCCTCCCATTTCTCTTCATTTCACCCCAAGACAGCCCCTCTGCAGTTTGGGTGCAGCCTCTCCTGGCAAGCCCCAGGCAGGCTCTGCCACAGGAGACTCATCTTCTCCTGGTGGGTGAGTGAACGTGCATTTCGAGTGCTCTTTGCCCTTGTCTGGAGAATAGCAGTAGGGGAAAGATTCCGGCAACTTTAGGTGATATTTTAAGTTATCTGTGTTAATTAACTGCATTTCACCCAGCTCTAAGTAGGAAGACTCATGGTGTAGCTAACCCTATTGTCATGTGAGCAGCAAGACGAGGAACCTGGCCTCACCTCGATGGGTGATGAGGATGCTCAGAAGCAGGAGAGGAAGGCAAGGGAAGAAAACCTGCATTCACCTGGTATTCCCAATGCCTCTCATTTTTAGCCAAGTTTCTACCGATCCTTGAAGAGGCAAATTTTCAGAAGAATTTTTTTTAGTGGACTAACTGTAAAATATCATGAGACAAACATTGGAGCTAGAAGGAAGGGTGGTTGTTTTTGCATCAAGTTTGTTACCTGATTTGCAGGCTACAGGGTAGTGTTTAGCTAATATGAATTTAAATAAAGTGACTTGGGATGTAAACACGAGCACTGGACATTTTATTTTTAACAAAGACTGGAGTCAAGGGAAGCCTTTTATTCTAGCCATTTTCTATCCAAGTGTCCCACCCACACCTTTCTCCAGGGTCAGACTACCTATTAGATAAAATAAAGATGACTTTGGACCTGTGAGCTCAGCTGGGACAACCAGCTGCCACCGATAAAATAAAGATGACTTTGGACCTGTGAAGAGAAAGCCTGCTGCATGTTAGCTCAGCTGGGACAACCAGCTGCCATCAAGAGCTCTGGGTCAGAGGCTTCTCAGTGCTATCTCCCTTCTCACCTGGTGCAGGCACTGGAAACAAGGATTGGGGAGCAGCTGTCCTTAATCTGCAGTCACAAGGTAGATGAGGTTTTATCTCCATCATCAGGCTTAGTTCAATATAGGATGTGTTCATTCAGCTTGTTCTTTTCCTTTGCTCCTTCTTACGAATTGGTCATAGTTCATTTTCTTTCTTAGCTATACTTTCTACTAGAATTGTAAAAGAAAGACCTGCAATAAAATTTCTTCATTAAAAAAAAGGACATTCATTTCATTGAGAACTCGGTGATTTTGTCAGTGAAAATGTCGCCTTATTCTCTCTGGAGAGACCAAACAGTTAGGTACCTACCAAAAAGATTTCATAAAATTAATCTGAGGGACATCAGGAAGAAATCTTTCACTGTGAGGGTGGTGAGAGCCTGGCCCAGGTTGCCCAGAGAAGCTGTGGCTGCCCCATCCCTGGAGGGGTTCAAGGCCTGGAGGGGTCTTGGAGTCAACCTGGGCTGGTGGGAGGTGTCCCTGCCCATGGAACAAGATGATCTTTAAGGTCCCTTCCCCATTTTATGAGTCTATGATTCCCATAACCTTTTAAAGTTCATTGCCTCCTATGGACAACATGGTCCCATAACCTTTTAAAGTTCATTGCCTCCTCTGGACAATATACATAATACATGACTGAACATGAGTGTTTTGCCTTTTGAAGAGGCAATTAAAGATCAAAAGGTGCCAGCTGATAACTTAAGGTCACGGTACAGCCAAAAGATGTACAGTACCTTGGCAAAAAAGAGTAGTAAAGGCAGGAAAACATAATATGTGTCTTAAACTATGGTAAAAAGGTTGGGGTACAACCAGTCATTGTGAATTAACTTTCTTACGGGTTCACTAGAGTGAATTCAAGATATTTGCAGAGTATGAGAATGGCCTTTATGTAAAATGATGTATAGGTGTATTTTGGTACAGTGCAAAAATAGGAACACTCCAAGCTTACTCAGAACAGAAACTGGAGAGTCCATTAGTGTGTGCAGCTGGTAAATTGTGTAACAAGCCTTAGACTAAGCTAAAGAAAGGATGGGTAGTATCAGATGGAGCCACCAGCCACCTACAGCATGGAAAGGGACCCCCCAACAGAGAAGACAGTGATGGACAAATAAATTGGGAGATCAGTAAAGAGGGAGCAGCAACAAAGTGATGAACACTGGGTTGAGTGCTCTTTTTCCCTAAAAGGACAGATATTCAGCTGTGCAAAGTTTTTTCTTCATAAAATAAATATCTAAGCCATCATGGATTAGCAGAAATACCTAACAAGTTGTGTTCCACAAAACCTCACATGTATATAAAAGAAAGGATGATAATTTGCCTCGTCAACAGCTGCCAGTTCTAAACTGTCTCTATCTGACAACAGAAGAGAGTAAGGACACATACCCTAAATACATAAATACTCAATACATACCCTAAATCCATGTCCCCATGAGTCCCATGACTCATCAACATCTAAACATTCTTAGACAAGTATTTTGAACAGAGGCAGTTGATGGACTATGGCAAACCACCTATTTAAAAATAGTGATAACAGCTGGAAAGACCATCATGTGGCCAACATAATCCAACAAAAACAAGGTAGGGAGAGCTGGGCAAGTTCTTCACTGCGCAGAACTTAGGAAAGTTATATCACTGCTCCATGCCTTAATTTAGTTCCACAGATGCATAGGGTGTCACAGTTTAACATAAAAATAAAGACAAGTTGGTTAACAGTAAAACACTTAATGAAGACTCTTAAGTATTAACGTTTGGTTTGTTATCTACTGGGCTTTCATTTAATCCTTCTCTTGTTGAACCATCAGTTGCTGGAAGGCGGCAAAAATGGAAAAGTATCTACTGGGCTTTCATTTAATCCTTCTCTCGTTGAACCATCAGTTGCTGGAAGGTGGCAAAAATGGAAAAATTGCAAACCAGAACTCTGCTGTCTGCTCTAAAGGGAAAGAAGCAACTATAGAAACTATAAACTCAAGTTACACGTTTGTCAAATAGGACTGTCACCTTTTTTTTTTGTTTGTTTCATAAAAGTAGCAGAAATTCACACACCATCTTGATAGATATTGATTAAATGCCAGGTTTTTTTCAAACGCTCAACAGTGACAGCACAATTGCTACCATGCCACACATGAATTATTAAAAAAAAAAAAAAAAAGTCTTTTTCAAAATCCCTATTCTTAGCTCCTTTGAACACGAGTAGTTGTTCCTCTATCCCAATGGAGCCAATTCCTGCAGTTCACCGAGATTCCCATCAAAACTTACTCTTTACAGACAATTACCCCCATTCTTGAACTTACAAAATTCCTTACAATAATTGTCCAAATACATCAAAAGCAGATGATGTTTTATGATTACTTCTATCAAGTATTACCTCGTGCACATGGCTAGTCATTAAGAATATTTGCCTAAGTCAGTAAATGTTACTTTAGACTGCCTTAGCCAGCAAAGATACCTTGAGGAAGATACACTTGAGGAAGAGAAGCTGGAAGTAATAACTAAAACTGATTGCAGGGTCATTTTCTTGAGGAAGATACACTTGAGGAAGAGAAGCTGGAAGTAATAACGAAAACTAACAGATTGCAGGGTCATTTGTCCTAAATTAAACCAATAATTATGTTTTAAATATATAAATTAATTATATATGTAAGATTCCAGGAAGTACTTTTTAACCTACTTCTTACTCTGGATGTTGCCTTTCTTTTCCTCTGCATTTTTTATTATTTTTTTTAATAAAACGAAACAAGACAGTAATAGAATGCATCGAGTGCCTTGGACTTAGGTTCTTCTAAGACCTCATTAATCTGCTTGCTTGAATTAAAAGACTGAACTTCCCCAGCCCAAACAAACAAAAAAAGAGTCCTGCTTTTTTGGTTCCTTTCCCAAAAATAGAGGTGCTATGATTTAGGTGTGTGTGGAGAAGCCTCCGGCAACAGCAGTAACTTCTGTGAGTAACAGCCAGTGCCATTTTTCTTGCCTCTACACTGAAAGATCAACCTGAGTGTGCATGAGAGGTCACCAATTTACACCCTACAAGCCGTGAGGCATCCTTCAAGGGGGGGCAGACACCTCCTGGTACAGCCCGAGGAGCCCAGGGGGTAGAGGAGACACTCAGCCCCCTGGTGTACCTCAAGGAGACCAGAAACAAGATCCTACATGGAATTGCCAACAGGGATCACAGCTTCGGCCTTTATGAGAAGGCTCTCATTTTCCTAATCTACTTGAAATTAAAAAAAAAAAGTTAGCTAGGAAGCAGTAACTTGTTATACCACTGCCTCTACTCGCCAAAAAGGAGTTCAAATTCCTATTCACAGAAACCATTTTGATCATCTCGGGCTAAACCAATAAATTCATGCAGCAAGCAGGAAATTTTTATTTTAAAGTCTCATTTAAGCCCGATTTGCATATATTTCTCCCCCCCCGGTCTAATTATTACAAATTGATAGAGTAAAATTACTGACTTATTTATTCGCTTTTATATAAATACGCATATTTATCAATTATCTTGGTTTTTAACAGTTTTAAAATGGGAAATGATATTTTGCATTTACTTCTTTCAAGCTACAGTCAAACAGCAATGGGAAAGCAACAAGGCTGCACAAAGGCAGTAACCTACCCAAAATGCTGGTTAAGAAAAACCAGGTTGTTTTTTTTTGTTTTTTTTTTTAAGATTTAAAAAAGGCAACTGAATCAAACACTCCTTGTACAATCAGTCTCAATGTCTAACGCACACAAGGAGGTATCGAGCTGAGCTTTTCTGTCAGGGGAAACCTTCCTAGGGGGATTTTTGTTTTGTTTTTAAACTAAATTGGCACTGTAAAAAAAATAATAAACCACCAAGGCAGGGACTAAAGCAGCAAACTGCTACGCAACCAGCCACCAAGGAGTTTTTCCTCAGCTGTTGTGTCTATTCTTGATTTTGTTTCAAACAGCATTTCAATTTTAAGTACATTTATCGTGCGTGGAAACAGAAAGCCCAGAGTGAGAATCACGTAAGACACAGGTTTCAAAGAAGGGTGGCTTCACCAAGAAGCACCAGCAACTCTTCCCTTCTCCCCAAAATAATATTTGCCAATTAATACGAAATGCTGACCTTTTGAGTGTTTAAACCCCACACGCTGAAAGTTTAAGTACTTTAAGAAGACACTAGTTCTGCTGTTCAGAATGGTCAGATTTTGGTTTTGTGGCTACTGGAGCTTGCTTGGAAAAAGGATCCCTAGCACACAGGTAAGCAAGACAAAAAAAAAAAAAAAAAAAAAAGTCTTTTTCAAAATCCCTATTCTTAGCTCCTTTGAACACGAGTAGTTGTTCCTCTATCCCAATGGAGCCAATTCCTGCAGTTCACCGAGATTCCCATCAAAACTTACTCTTTACAGACAATTACCCCCATTCTTGAACTTACAAAATTCCTTACAATAATTGTCCAAATACATCAAAAGCAGATGATGTTTTATGATGACTTCTATCAAGTATTGCCTCGTGCACATGGCTAGTCATTAAGGATATTTGCCTAAGTCAGTAAATGTTACTTTAGACTGCCTTAGCCAGCAAAGATACCTTGGTTTTAGATGCAGACCTAGCTATCCCCCATCAGAATGGAATACTTGAGGAAGAGAAGCTGGAAGTAATAACTAAAACTGATTGCAGGGTCATTTTTCCTAAATTAAACCAATAATTATGTTTTAAATATA